TTGACAGACTGTAAACTGTAAGCTGAAGTGAAAGGAAGGAAGGAAGGAAGGAAGGAAGGAAGGAAGGAAGGAAGGAAGGAAGGAAGGAAGGAAGGAGAAGGGAAGGAAAAAGAAAGAAAGAAGAAAGAAAGAAAGAAAGAAAGAAAGAAAGAAAGAAAGAAAGAAAGAAAGAAAGAAAGGAAGGAAGCAGGCTGAGCAAGTCCCGATGAACAGGCAGTTACCAGTGTTCTTCCATGGTGTCTGCATCAGTTCCTGCCCTGTTTGAGTTCCTGTCCCGATTTCCTTCAGTAACAGACTACAATGAGAAAGTGTGAGTCAAATAAACTTTCCTCTTCTATTTGCTTTCTGGAATGTGACAGAGGAAACACATGTAACTCCTAAACCTTGAGCCGTGGGTACCTGCCCTCCCTGGGAATGATGTCACTTCTCTGTGGGTGACTCCTTGTGTTCAGGGATGCCCCAGCAATAGCCCACAGTCTGCTCCAGGTATGACTGCAAAAGGAACTTTTATTCTCTGAGTTCAGTTATTGTCTTGGAGACTTACTGCCTCTGTCTACTAGCCTAGGTCTGGTCCTGGAAGCTTCTAGACTCTGTGAAATCTAACCCAGGCCTAGAATGTTCTCAGCCTCTAAGGTTTACAGCTGAATAAGATCACCCTTACTTGTTTTTACTGAGCTCTGGGCTGGCTGGTTCAACTCAGCTGTTCTGGCTCAAACTCCTCTCCCAGCTGACTTACTCAATCTGGCTTTTCTCTCAGCCTCTGAATTTCTCTGCTTGGCCTCAAACTAACTCAGCAATCTGCTCTAATCTTTTAGCTCCTCTTCATTCTCTGGCTTGTTCTGTCTTCACCTGAGTTCTCTCTCTCTCTCTGCAACCTGACTCTATTACTGTCCTGGTAAAACTGCTTTTTACGTAGTTTCCCTTTCCTCTCTCTCCTCGTGACAGCTGGGCTTATCCTATTCTGTCAGATCTTTCTCTGATTCATCACTGTTTCTGCCACTCAATTAAACATCACTTTCAAACATGGGCACTTCCTTCTACAAACTATCTTTACCTTCATTGTTTGGGATTAAGGGGCATGTATCGCTTCACCTGGACCTAAGCTTTTTCTTACCTGAAACTCAGATCTGTTTGCCTGTGTCTCCTGGATTAAAGTGTGCTTGTATTCCAGCTGGATCCTAAAAGGTGATCTCTGGTCAAAACAGCCATGTTCTGAATTGACATTCTTCTGCACGTGACCCCTTGTTCATGCTGAGTGCAGTGAGGACCAGCCACTGTCCCCTGGTGTTCAGTGTCTCCGGTGGAGACTCAGCTTTCCGTGTTGGGCCAATCTTTTCAGCCTGGGGGCAGTTGCTGGGCAATGCTGAGCAGGAACCTGTGTGAAAGAGCATCCAGGCGGGAGGGACCAGGACGCTCCCAGAATGTAGAGTCAGAACAGGACACGGATGTGTGGATGGCTGTGTGCTCGGCTCATTGGGAGCAGCAGGCCAAGCCCTGTCCTCTGGAGCCACCCAAAAAGGCAGGGTGACCTGTTTGCCCTCACATGCCCCTGCTCTTGGCTCTCCCTGCAGCTTGGCCTCATTGGCGCTGCCCTCGTCCCAAGCCTGTCAGCTCTGGAGCTCTCTCTGAAGGTCACAGGATGTCAGTCTTTCTGCTTTACCCATTTCATGACTCTCCAGTGAGAGCCAGTGACAGTCTCTTCCCATACTTGTCAAAACAGCCTTCAGGCTGGCTTCCGTTAGCTGTGTGACCCGAGTCGTGTGACTTCTCTAAACCTCCATGACTCCATTTTATTTAACAACGGAGGAGAAATATTTGAGTGTGTCAGGCTAGTTTCCAGGCCTCAAATACGATCGATGTCTGTGCATTTTTGAGTAGTCTGTGTGGGCCCAGCCCTGCTCTAGGGTTAGTTCATTGGGGCTTGGACTCTGTGGCTAGTGGCACTGCAGGAAAAGGCCATTGTTCATTCCTTACCCCTTGGCTTTTCCTGTTACCTTCCCCTGCAAAGCATCCAGAGGAAAACGCTAGGCACCTGCCCCTCTCAGAGGTGTGTGTGGCATAGAGGGCTCCCTTCCTCCCCAGCCTGAGACCTGTGCATATCAAGGCCACCCCACTTACCCTTTCTGTGAGGTATTTGTGTCCCCTGTCATATTCTTGCCTCAACTCCCCCTGCTTCCTTCAATGTTATGTCACTCACAGCTCCTCCTTTAGAACCCGAGGCCTGGTGTTCCGCTTGTGGCATGATGGGCCGTTGCTGGCCTGCTTCACCCCCTTTCTGCAGCACCAGTTAGATGGGGTGCTCAGATCTTGACATCCTCATTTCCAGCCCCTCCCTCTAAGATCCTGGGCAGCTGCCTGCAGCCAGCCCAGCTCACAGAGTCCATGGAAGCCTCATGCCCTTTTTTCACGTCTGACATCTGTCTCCAGGCCATCTGGCCTCGGGAGGAGTCAGGCATGACAGTACTGGCTTTCAGCGACCGCAGGCCTAGGCCTGTGGCTGTGGGTCTCCGTAGGTCAGAAGTCATGGCCACGGTCACCTGCGTGGGTGTTCGCTTGGTATTTGACATTTGCAGCGAGGCTGGATCTTTCCTGCCCGTTGATGTCTGTGTGTCTTCTATGTTACCCAGCACGGTTTGGTTCCTTCCGGGAGAAGCCAGCCGTGTGCTGGTGTAGGGAAATTTCCAGAAGTCAGACATTGACCTAAAGGGGCCGCGGATGTACGAGTGTCTCTATTCAGAGTAAATGGAACAGAGGCCTAGATTGTAGGAGGTGAGGGCCCAGGCCTGCATCAGAGAAGTCAAGACAAATTTTACTGTCATGTTTAAAAGTCAAGGCTTCAAAGGTTCGATGTTTTTTTAAAGATTTTATGTTTTAGTTATGGGTACTTGTGTGGACCTGTGTATAGGTATATTCGCGTTGAGGGCAGGTACCCAGAGAGGCCGGAGGAGGCTGTCCGCCTGCAACTGGAATTACAAGTGATTGTGAGCAGCCAAATGTGGTTGGTGGGATTTGAGCTCTGGTTCTCTTGCAAGAGTCTTAAGGGCTCAGACACCTCTCTAGCCTGATGAAGCAAAGCCAGGGCATTCTGTATTTATTTATTTAGTTATCTATCTATTTATTTATCGAGACAGGATTTCTCAGTGTAGCCCCAGCTGTCCTGGAACTCGCTCTATAGAGCGGGCTGGCCTTGAACTCGGAGATTCACCTGCCTCTGCTTCTCAAGCACTGGGATTTAAGCCGTGTGCCACTGCCACCCTGCTCAAACTACACTTCCAAAGTCCTGGTCCTTAACTTGTCCTCAGCTCATCTTCAGAGCTTCCAGAAGGCCGTCTGGGGCTGTTGGAAGTTTAAGAAGTCAGGAGTTTTTGGAGAGAGCAGGTGGTGTCCTGTGGGCCCCAGCACCCAGCACTGCGGAAGGCCAGACAGTCTTTCACATTCCAGAGAGGACTGCCACCGACTTTGCCCTGTGAAAGGCGTAGCCATTTCTGGTTAAAGGGCCCCCGAGTGACGTTTCTTGTGGGTTCCATTCAGGCAGGCAAATGAGTTCATTCCGAGGCGACATAGATATAGGCTGTATGCTTTTCTAGTAACAGGGTACAGCCTGCCACTCCGCTGTGACAGCCTCTGGTGGCGGGGGGAGGGGAGGCACTTTGTTCTCTCTGCCACAGGGCCTTGCGCCCTGCTGTTCCCTCTACCTGTAATTCTGTTCAGGCACCACTGCCTCTGAGAGGCCCTCCCTGATTGACTGGCACAGCTGCCTCTGATTATTCCCGCTGGTGGTAGCTTTGTTGAGCCCTGGCCTGGTTTGCCTGGGTGGTTCTGAGGGCAGGCCAGCTGGCTGCACCTGTGTCCAGGTCTAAGCCCACCTGGGGCCAGAGGACTTGGCCAGCTGACAGAGGAGGGTGCCCCTTGAGCCACTCTGAAGCTGGGGTCCCTCCCTCCTGCCCAGGGAACATGGGGTAGCTGGACTAGCAGAGGTCATCTGTCCCCTACACTATGTGCCACCCTGACATCCTTGTAAGTAATCCTCGGGTGTCTGGGCGCCTGTGTCCAGATGCAAGGCTGGAAGCAGGCAGTGGCAGGGTGCTCGCAGTCCCTGCCAGGAAAGCAGGCAGAATGGGAACCGTGTGTTCTGCGCCTGTGGTAGAGCAGGGCAGAGTAGGCTGAGCCCTGTCCCCGAGTGAGACCTTTTAGAGAGGGGTTCTCAGCCTGTGGGGCTCAAACCCCTGACAGGGCCGAAGGACCCTTTCTCGGGGGGTCACCTAAGACTATCAGAAAACAGAGGTATTTACATTCCAGCTCAGAGTAGCAAAGTTACAGTTAGGAAGGTGTGATGTTGTGACGAAAGTAATTTTATGGTTGGGGAGTCACCACAACGTGAGGAACCAGTGAGAGGGTCGCAGCCTTAGGACCGTTGAGAAGCAGGTTTTAGAGAAACCTGAAGCCAGCAGGTGTTGGGAGCTTCTGGAAGAACGGCTGCATCCTCCACCCCGTTTGCCGGCAACTTTTTAACCATCTCTGTGGCTCCAGGAAAATGGAGATGAGAGGCCAGGCAGATCGTGGGGCAAAGTGCCTGGCGGGAGGGAAATGCCTCTACCCACCAGGTGCCCTTCATTACCTGGGACCAAGTGGCCCCAGGCTTTCCTGTCAAGACGCTCACAGGAGCAAAAGGAGGGGACCACCGGCCCCGGGGCAGATCTTGACCCCGAGTTCTTAAACATTCGTTGTCCCAAGGGAAGTGCCTCCCGCCCCCACCCCCGGCAGGTGGCCCCGCTGATGGCTCAGAGCCCTTGCTGAGGCGGCTGTGGGCCCAAGTCAGCGTTCAACACCACGGGGGTCGGGGAGGGCTCTTTTGCAAGCTGGGGACCTTGCAATCCTCACCCTACCCTGACGGGGTGGGTGGCCGGGGCGGGAGGCTCGGGCGGAGGGCGGGGAGGGGGCGGTGCCTGGGAAAGGAGGCTCAGCTGGCGGCCGCAGGCTTTCTGCCGCGGGAGCGGGGCTCAGCTGGAGCCGCAGGCCGGGGCCTCTCCCCTCCGGCCCGGGGGGTGGCGGGAACCCGAGTCGCTGGGGCCCGCGCCCCGCGCCCGCCAGTCATGGTGGGTCACCTGCATCTGCAGGCCATGGGGGACACGCGGGAACAGAGCCGCGACGGCTTGCTGGACAGTCCCGACTCGGGACTACCACCCAGTCCCAGCCCCAGCCCGCCCTTTTACGTCCTGTCGCCGGGCACCCTGGACGCCCGCGCCACCACCGCGCCTCCAGGACCCCACGGGGGGCCCGGGGGGGGGGGGGGGAGGGGGGGGGGGGGGGGGGTCGCAGTGGGAGGCCATGCAGAAGCCAGCGTGGTCTCTTCCCTCCTGAGGAAGGTATGGACGTGCACCGGGCTCCTCAGGACCCGCAGGCTGGGAGTTTTGGGGTGGTGCTGGCGGGCTGGAGTAGTGTCCTGGTGCCCTCAAAGTCTACTGTCTACCATGGGGGCCCGTTGGGGCTGTCCGTCCGTGGGTCCCGTCCCTGCTGCCGCTGCCTCCTGCCCTCTTGATCTCCCTGGGCTTCCACACAGAGACATTTTTTGAAAACGCAGCTCGGGGCTGCTCCACGGGCTTCGTCTTGTGCATGTAGAAGTGGAACTGTCCCTGGAGCTGGGACTCCAGCCGGATGCGCTGTGCCTGGGGCTCTCGGGCATTGGGGCACAAGCAACAACTTGAAGAAAGGACTGGGTGGACAGAGAGGGGGTTACACATGAGCCCTGCGCCATGTCCTCCGCCCCGTGGCCTGAAGGCCTCCACTGGGTGTTAGGGCCTCTCCCGCCAAGGTGTGCAGGGCGCTGGCGTTTAAGGCTCTTCAAGCAGTGTCCAGCCTGCTTCCCCCTCCAGGCACCGACCAGGGCACAGTGTAGGTGTCCACAATTTTACTTAAATGTCCCCAAGTGTGACTCAGGCAGGCAGGGGAGTTGGAAGCCTGTCTTGAATTGAACTTCTGTCTCTCTTTTGGGAGGGTAGCCGGGATGGTCAAGGACTTCAGGAGTTAATGTAAGTGAGCAGTGCTGTTCTCAGGGAAAAAAAATAACAAAAAAAACCCAACCAAACAAAAAACCCAAAACCAAAAACTTGTGGCCTGGACAGGTCTGAGCTTCCACAGCAAAGGATGACCTGGGGCCCGGCAGTGTGGCGGAGTGGGGGTGGGAGGATTCCAGGGATTATTCTGGGGGACAGAAAGAAGGTACTAGGAAGATCTCCCTCTAGTTCCCTGTGACCCAGAAGCCTCTTTCTGCAAGGCATTCTGTCCGCCTCTGGAGCCAGCCAGAGGTGGCTGGGAGAGCCGCATGCCGGGCTCGCTAGCCTGGCTCTGCTGGTGGTGTTTCCTTTCTAGGCTGCATAGATGCCAGCTATGGAGCAAGACCGCCTGGTCTGTGACTTTGGGCAGGGAAGCCCAGCATAACAGGACCAGGAAACCTGGCTCCAGCCGGCATTTAAACCTGCCCTACTTTATTTATTTATTTATTTATTTATTTATTTATTTATTTATTTTTAAGTGTGAAGTGCGAGTTAACGGCCTTTTAAAGTTTTAAACAGAAAAATAAAATGGGTAGCTGTAGGGTCGGTCCAAGGTGCTGCTCTTAATCAAGAGAGGAGGCAGGCGGTGGCCATGGCAACCTCTCCTCAGGTTTGGGGTCCCAACTGCGGCCCCACCCACCAAGATCTCCACCTCTTTGAGTTCCCCGTTCCTTCCCTACTCTCTGGTCCGCCAGTGCCTTGCTTCCCTGCTTGGGTAGCTCCTAGGCCCAGGTGTAAGCAGGCTGACAATTGCCAACTGATTGATCGGTCTGTGGTGTGGGACCAAAGAAGGCCGTCCCTCACCTTGGACCAATGGTTTCATCTGGAAGAAGCTACAGGAAGGCGGTCACGCGTCCCCTGTGCCCTCCCGGTGTCAGTGTCATTGCACTACTGTCGTTTCAGTGGAGCTACAGTCTCCTCCTCCTGCGGGATCAAGTGCTAGGCATGACCAGCAGCCGAGTAGGGATATGGCTAGTGTACACCGGGAACCAGGCCTCAGAAAACCCTCTGGGCCAGACCCTGCTGAAAACTATGCTTTTTGAGTATTAATGTATTCACTTTACATCCTGATCGTCACGGCCTCCCTCATCTCCACCTGGTCCCACCCTCACCCATCCCTGTCCCCTAGTCCTCAGAATGAATGGGGGAGCCCTCCACCGTTACCAACTGATCCCAGACTATCAAGTCTCCTCAGGATGCCTGCAATCTTTTCCTCACCCGGGGAAGCCAAGCGATCGACGAGTTCCCGTCAGTGGTAGTCCTGGTCCCCTTCCTGGGTGACAGACATGGAGACTGAGCTGCCTATTGGCTACATCTGAGCAGGGGCCCGGGTCCTCTGCATGCATGGTCCTTGGTTGGTGCATCAGTCTTCGCAGGCCTCCTGGGCCCAGAATTTTGGCCCTGATGGTCTTCTTATGGAGCTCCTGTCCTCTCTGGGTCCTTTTATCCCCCCTCCCCCGCTCTTCCATAAGACTCCCTGCTCTCTGCCCAAAGTTTGGCTGTGAGTCTCAGCATCTGCTTCACTCCCCTACTGAGTGGAGTCTTGCAGAGGACATCTATGGTAGGCTCCCATCCTGTTCCCTCTCTTCAGCCATGTCAGGAGGCTATTGCATTGCCCTTCTGAGTGAGAATTAAGCATCCTCCCTGGGGTCCTCATTGTTACTTATCTTCTTTAGGTCTGTGGCTTGTAGTGCAGTTATCCTGCAGTGTACGGCTAATATCCGCTTATAAAAGCATATACCGCGTGTGTCTGGAAACTATGCTTTTTTGGTTTTTAAACTACTCATAGCTCCCAGGACCCCCAAGTTAGAAAGCTCAATCAGGGGTGTAACTGAAAAGTGCATGTGAGGGATGCAAAGTGCCGTGTGTGTGTGTGTGTGTGTGTGTACGTACGTACGTACGTGTGTGTACGTGTGTGTACATGTGTACGCATGCCCGTGAGCTACTCTCCCTTGTGGTCCCAGTAGAGCAAGAATGGGGGCTGCTTGCCTGCTTCTTTCACCCCAAGAATGCTCAGCCGTCCAGGAAATGGAAGCAGACTGACCCTGGCCCTGCCACCCTGGGCTCCCCAGCCAGACTTCTCCACCAGATGTTAAACATCAGGTGCCCCCTGCCCTCCCCCCACTCCGCACTTCTATCACAGAGCTGGCATGGCGGGGAGCCAGGTCCTGCTGGCTGAGAACAGGTCTGTCAGAAACCAGGCTCCCAGCACTTGACAAGCAGTTTGGGCAACTGCTGCCCCCGCCTCCACCTCTCCCTTCTCCATCTAGTTTTATTGCCCCCAGGGGACTGCAGGTAGCTTTTAGGATCTGACCTGGGGTCCCCTCTGGGTGTTTGCTTAGACCACAGCCCCGTGTGCTTGGAGGTCCGGCTCGCTGTTGAATGGTGACAGGAGGTGACAGGAAGTAAGGTACTGCTGCCTGGGATAGACTCTGCCTCCCCAGGTTCTCCGGGTTGATTGGTAAGAAAGTCTAGCTCATCCGTGCCTCCGAGGCCACTCTGGACTATCAGGAGAGGCTGGCTTTCCCCCGGGGGGGGGTGTGTGTGTGTGTGTGCAGATCTGGGCCCTGGTCCAAGCAGAATGGGAAGGGCATGGCGGGTGCCACAGTCACTCTTAAGGTCACTGCTTTCCTATTTCTATGAAGGCTGGTTTGAGAGAGAAGGGGAGGGAGGGCTGGTGCCTGGAGTCAGGAGGGTAGGCGGACATGCACAGCCTGAAGGAAAAATGAGCAGGTAGATGGGTGGAATGGACGGCGGATTGAGGCAGGGGAAAGAGCTCAGGAGACTTATGGCCCAGGTGGGTGTCTGTGTGGGCACTTGTGGAAGGGAGCCAGCATGCGGGGTGGGTGAAGGCTGTTTGCAAAGGGAGCGGGGAGGCAGGCAGATCTGCCAGGGCCTCCTTCCGGCTGGGTCTGCTTAAATCCCAATGGTGCCTTGAGTTCTAGTGGTTTGCCAGCTGCCTTCCACAGCCCTGCCCCCACGGTTGGGACACCTGCTGGGACGAGGGTCACCTGGAGCTTCAGTGGGAAGAGCAGGCAGGTCACACCCTGACAGGGAACCCGCGCAGCCACCTTCTGGGGAGGGCGCCAGAGGGGATGGTTGGGATGGTCTGGAGTGCCATATACAGGCGCTTAGGACAGAGGGCACTGGCTCATGGGTCTGGAAGCCACACTACCAGAATCAAGGCCTGAGCGGGACTCCCTCCATGATTGCTAAAGTCCATCCCTGGCTTCTGGTGGCAATCCCTAGGTCCAGCGACGATCTGTGGCTTCCCGTGGCAAGGTGTGACCTTTGGTGGGAACCCTTGGCTGGGGTGGCTTTGGGATAACCTGTGGTGCGATGACTTGAGATGCAGTAGCAACGTCTCCATCTTCACCCAACTGTTCTTGTATCTCTGTTTCTAAGGACACTAGTCATCCAGCTAGTGCCGCCCTAACCCAGGGAGACGACACACCTGTAGAGGCCCCCTGTCTACTGGAGGGCTCACCCACAGTGGGCTTGGCCGTCAACTGTCTTTGTGGGGACAGTATCAACAGTCCTTCTGTCTTGTGGTGGGGACACCCATCTCGGAGCCGCTCCTTCCAATTACACTGCTCTGTGGCTATTTCCCAGGTTGCGAATCAGGTTATCTGCAATCTGTGTTGGGCCCTTGAGGCCTCAGGGCCCCTCCTGGACTTCTAAGCATTCTGGTCTCACCCAGCTGCCTGGTGTGACGTACTAGAGAGAGTGAAATAAGAAGAGGGGGTTGGGGGGCATCCCAGGACCCTGCAGGGAGGGAGGACAGGGCCTTTGGCTTCTATGGCCCCTCCTCACATCATTCCCTCCTGGGTCAGGGTCAGACTGAGCCCAAGTCCACCACAGGAGTTCTTGGTCGCAAACATATTTGACACACAGCTAGAGACAATCGGAGTTTAATTCCAGTCCTTGGGAGGGTGAGACAGGAGGATTGCTGGGAGCTCCAAGCCAGCCTGGTCTGCAGAATGACGTGTCATTTAATGTAATTCCAGCCTCTAGGAGGGTGAGACAGGATTGCTAGCAATTCCAGCCTGGTCTATAGAGGAAGACCTCATTGAAAACACACCGGAAGCTGTCCAGGGTGTCTTGCAGAGTCTCCATGTGGCACCGTGTGTGGTGGGGAGTGGCACGCTGGAGGGGCCTGGATTGTTCGGCCCCTCCAGCAGCCAGTGACCCTCTCCTGCACTGATGGGCTTACTGCTCTAATGAGTCCCATGGACTACGGTGCTATTTTGGTTCCTTGGCTGTTCCCTCTCTGGGTCTTCTTGTTCAGCTAGGCCAGAACACTGCCGGGTGGGTGTTCTGTAAGGCTCTGTAAGGCTCCTTACTCTCTGCCACAGTGTGTTATCACTCCCCGTGGCTTTGGGTTTTCCCAGGGTGCCAAGCTCCACGTCACCACACCTGTTTACCATCACTGGGCTGGCCAGTCAGTGGCCCCTTATGCTCAGAACCTCAGCCCTTTGGCCTGCTGAGGCTAGCTCTCGTTTCTACCCACTCCTATCTACCCAGGAGACTAGGAGTTAGCCAGCTGCCCTGGCCTGCCCGTGGCATCAGGGGTGACCCCTGCCCAGAGCCGCGAGGGAACACTGAAACCCCAGGGAACTGGCCCTCCCTCGGCCCCGGGCGTGGGTACACTTCAGGCCACAGATGTGCACTGCAGCTGGAGGCCGCAGTTCACCACACGCATATGGTCTCTGGACACCATGTTCCTGTCTGGTGCCCACCGAGACCAGAGTGGGCATCAGTTCCCTGGGACTCCAGTTAGGCGTTTGTGAGCCACCGTGCGGACACTGGAAGCTGAACATGAGTCTTGTGCAGAAGCAGTGAATGTTCTTAACCGCCAAACCATCCTTCAGCTCCTTGGAGAATCTCTTTAGAGTTGAACAGGGCCCCTGAACCCTGGCTGGCCACCTGTCTGGACTGGCTCCAGGGGGCCCAGTGAGGCAGACGCCCTCGTGTGACGACTCCAGTGGGGCAATGTGCATACCCTGCAGGCCTACCGTGTGAGATAGCCCCCTCCCCCAGCCATTATGGGACTGCACCCCCACCTCTGGGGGACATTGTTTTTCATCCCTCATAGTCACTATGGGCCCATACCCTAAGCTCTGGTGCAGCGGGGGCACTGTTTTCCACCTAATGCAGTTGGGCTTTTCCTGTGGGCTCAGCAGGACAGCTGGATTCACAGGCCGTAGGGTGAGACATTTTCAAAACAACTTTTAGCCATGGTTTTGAGCGCAGAAATCTTGTCCAGGGGGTGGTTACTGGCAGCCTTGGTGTCCAGCCCAGGAACCCAAGGCAGAATCCTAGGGGACGGGTCCAGCTGCCCCACCCCCAAGGCCTTGTCCCAGGGACACCTGGGCTCTGCCCTGTGTCTCTGTGCCTGCAGCCTGCCCGTGGGCGGCTGAACTGTTTTTCCAGTGGGGCCCTTTGGAGAGAGATCTGGCTCCGTCCACTTGAACTGGGCTTCGTGTGACTGGCAGAGTCCTGTGCCACATCTCGGTGGAACGGGGCTGCAGGTCAGCCAAGGCCCAGGCAGCAGCCTCAGGAGTGTTGGGTTCCCTTTCCTTCCCCTCTTCATCTGTCACCCAGGTTCTCATATAGCCCAGGATGGCCTCAAACTCTCTATGCACCCGAGGGGACCCTTGAAATCTGATCCTCCGGATTCTGCCTTCTGTGTGCTGGGACTGTGGGCAAGCAGCTATTTATGGACTTCCAGAGGTGGAATACAAGGCTTCAGGCATGCTGGGCAAGCATCCTAATGTCAGAGCCTAGTTCCCTAGCCCACGAGCTGTTTTTTCATTCCAGGTAAACCGAGGAGGGGCAGAGGGCTGAGGTTGAGGGCCTGCTGTAGCAGGTTTACTGAGCATATGCAAGGCTCGGCAATGCTTTGTATGAATAGAACACAACCCAAAGCAAGGGAGGCAGCCTGGCTCTTAGAAGGATCCGCCTATTTGAATGCCTGCTTCTGAAGCTTTAGCCCGTGTTCATGTCCTTCCTCGTCCAAGGCCACACGGGACCTGGTACTGTGCACTTGGGGGCACACCCGAGCCACAGCCAGCTCTCTGATATTATTTCTATAAACACCTCATCCAGGAGCTTTATGGCAGGGGTAGGTGCTGATGTCACTTGATCCAGAGTCTGCCTGAAGTCCGATGGGATCCAGGTGCCTCCCCCTGACCCAGGAACTATGCGTTAATCCCACCTGGGGTGCTGGTTTGTGAAGATGGTCATGCCCCACCCTCCTGGGGTCAAGCAGACAGGCACTCGGATCCTCCTATCTGGTCCCCTGTCCGCAGTACTGTTACAAATAGCGACCCCTTCCCGTCTGTCTTTTCTCCAAATAGGCCGCTGCTCTCTTCCCAAATCCTGCAGCTCTGGAGATGAGGACCCGGCTGCTGCCCGTATTCTTTGGGGAGAGCATCGAGGTTGAGCCAGAACCTGCCCATGAAATCCGGTGAGCGGGTCAAGAGCCAGGTGGGTGGGTCCTGCAGAGCTGTGTGGGAGAAGGGGCATGCTGGGGCAGGCACAGGGCAGCCAGATTGGGGCTCAGCAACTCCTATCCCCGGGTGCTTCCTGCCTTGGACGGCACCCCCTTCTTGGTATGGAGGAAGTGGCACTGAGGTCACTAACTGGTCCTTCTGAATGGCGGAAAGCATCCACCAGGAGGGGCTGTGGGGTTTTCTTGGGACAGACTACAAGGGGCACCTGCTGTGCCCTCCTATGTGACCTTTGTCATAGTTGGCCCCCAAGCCCCCGAAGAGTGCAGTGTGTTCCAACAACAGATATCCCTCCAAGGCCACAATCGAAGGCCACAAAGCCACCACCCGAATAGCATCCAACATCCCAATTGTGTCCTTTTTTTGTCTTTTCCCCCCAACTTAGGGTCCAGCTGTCTGGGCTGCTTGTCACTTTTTAGTTTCCCAGCTGGACTTTTAACCCTTCACAGTTAAGGTCAAGAAGGGGGTTCTGTGTAAGGCTAGCCCCCGAGGGTGGTGGGCCAACTCACCCCTTTCGTTACTGTCCTCCCCAGCTGCAACTCTGAGGTCACCTATGCCTCAGAGAGATACTTCCGAGACAAGATCATCTACGCGCCGGTGCCCACGGTCACAGCCTACAGTGAGACCATAGTGGCAGCTCCCAACTGCACGTGGCGCAGCTACCGCAGCCAGCTGACCCTGGAGCCCCGCCCACGGGCCCTGCGCTTCGGAAGCACCGCCATCATCTTCCCCAAACTGGCCCGCAGCTCCTTCCGCACCACGCTGCACTGCAGCCTCGGCCAGCCGCGCCACTGGTTCTCCTCGAGCCTGCAGCTGCAACAGTGCAGGGACCCTGCGGCCACTTCCCGTGGCCCCGATGTACTCTGAGGAGCCCAGTGGCAGAGGAGTCGAGTGTGGGAGAGGGCCAGGAAAGACGGACAGGGCCTGGGCCGGGAACCTGGGCCCCAGGAGACACAGAGCCCTGTGGTCTGGACAAAGGAGAATGAGGCTGCTTCTGGCAGCCTGTCCCCACCACAGGCTGGCTTGGCTGTGCCCACGCTCCAGCCTAAGGGCTTCTGTGAATGCATCTTTCATTAGCCTATACAGGCTGTATGGCCCAAAGAGCAGGGCCCAGCGTGACCTGGTGTGCCCTTGAGGCAGAGCTGGCTCCCAACCTTGCTCTTGGAAAGGCTCATTTCCAAAACAGGCCTTTCAGCCGTGCTCATCCCAGCTGGAAAGCCCAGGTGCGGAGGGCTGAGCTAGCTTTCCTTGAACTGACTGAGCTGTCGAAGCTGGGGGCCGGGTACCTAGGAAACATCGCCTTCTGTGCAGGGCACAGCTCTCCAGAGCAGCCAAGACACATTCCTGACTAGCTTAGAACTCTTGATCCTCAAAGCTTTCTGCCAGGTATCCAGCGAGGCTTCAGAGCTAATGATGGACTCTGGACGTGAGTCTAGAGCAGGACTCGGAACGCCAAGGGAAGCTGTAGCTGCTTTTCTTGCCTCCCGTTCTCACTTAGGCTGGGAACTACACGGACACCACAGTTTCACCTCTTGCCTGCAATCTGGATGCCCAGGCTAAAATGACTTAGAGGTGGAGATGTCTCTCTGGCCTCAACTGTCCAGTAGCTGGAAACCTGCCTGCTGCCTCCATGGTGGCTAAGAGGGAAGGGACAAACAGAACCCAAATGACTGATAGATTGCTATCTATCTACACAGCTTATCTGAGGTACACCTCCCTCCTCCGTTAAAGAACAGCTTAAGAGATTGGTGAATTATCTTAATAAAACGTACACAGCCAGTTTCTGAGGTGCCCCTGGGGTGAGGGAGGGAAGCCGCGTAGGCCCAGGGCCCACTTTTCTTCCTACCTAGCATTAGTCTCTGAGGGAGCCTGGCTTCCTTGCACCTGGGGCACAGGGAGAAACCAGAAGGTCTCCGTGTATGGCAGCCTCGCCCTCGTCCCAAGAGCCTCGTGTGTGGAAGGCAAGGACCCTACCACCAAACTACAGCCACAACTGGCTTCCCACACTAAGGGCTCTTACCTGTTTGAGAATATGGGGTCCCCAAGCTGCCAATTATAGTTGGGGGGAGAGCTTGGGAAAGCCCCAGACAAGAATACTGCTGAATGGTTCACCTGTCCTGGGGTCACCCAGGGAACCTGGAAAGAGAATGAGGGGCCAGGTCTGAGTGGATCAGGTCCCAACCCTTGGGGCTGTCCACCCAGAGGTCATGTTCCCAGCTGCCCTGCCTAGGGTACTCTGTGTTAAATGGCCTTTCACCCGGCCCTCCAGCACCAGGGATGGAAGACCCGGTAGTGTCTCAGCTGCCCGCAGGCTGGTGAGACTGACAGTAATCGGCAGGCGCTTGTGCCTGTGGGTTACTTTTTGTTTTTCAGCCAGGGTTCACTATGTAGCCCTGGCTGTCCTGAAATTCACTATGTAGACCAGGCTGGCCGTGAAATCCAGAGATCCACCTACCTCTGCCTCTCAAGGGCTGGGATTAAAGGCACGAGCCACTCTGCCTGGCTTGTGGAGTGGGGGGAAAGGGGCCCAGGAAGGGTGTGGGCTAGCGACTCAGATGGAAGCCACAGCTAGGTCCTCACAGCTGGAGAATTTCCAACTGGCTAAGGCTCTTTTGTTGACGACCTTAGCCTTATTTGGCATGGCCTTGGATCCATGGACTAGCTGCTAAGTATGAGGGAGGGCTGCCTCCGGCCATGGGTGCCTTACTTCCCTCATACTCCTGGCAACCTGTATACTTTGTACCTTAGCTCGTCCACAGCGGAGAAAGCCCTGAGCAGGCAGTGCCTCCGCCATCATCACAGCTGTTCTCTAGCTGTGCAGGCTCTACTGGCCACTTAAGGGCCTCTTCACCACAACCCTTGCCCTTGAGTCTCACTGACCTGCCCTGTGGAGTGCTTCATCCCGGCTTGGGCCAGCCCTATCGCACAATCTTCATCTTTGCAAGCCCAAATCAGTTCAATTTTAGAAAATTGGCCATGGCCTTTCTCACAAACTCCTTGTCCCCACCCTGGCTCTCAAGCGTCTCTGGCTAGGCCTCACTTTGCTCGCATGCGTTGTGTCCCCCACAATCTGTCTATCTCTTTAAGGCTGCTGCTTCCAGGAAGTCCCCGTGACTGCCTGGCTCTGTGTCACTCCTGAGTCAAGCCCAGAGAACCTGAACACACATCATCTCTGTGGGCAGAGCTCTCCTTCAGGGAAGGGGACAGGCTGAATCTGGCTTGCTGCAGAGTTAGCTCTCTCTGTATTAAGAGACCCCGAGGAAAGAATATGGGGTTCTTAGAGTGGGGACTCTGGTGTGTGTGCAGGTGTCTTCCCCAGAGACGAGGGTGAAAGAAGTCACATGAACCTCCATTTTAAAGGTAGAATGACAGGCTGGTCACAGCTAGGGGACAGAAGAGACACTGGAAGGGCAGAGTCCGCAAGCTCTGCCTCCACTCCTCTGGCATGGTCCGGGCCTCAGAAACAGACAAGGGAGAGACAGGGCTTCATGTCTGAGAGGCAGAGACAGGGCTGGAGGAGACAGCGGGATTGCTCACAACAGCTCTGGCCTGGTCGCAGCCAAGGGACCAGTCTGTCCAGGTGGAGCTGGCTTGTATCCAGGGTGAGGTCCCATACCTCCACCTGGCTGCTGGCTTTTGTATTGCAGTCTGGACACAGGTTGAGCCCTACCAAGGCTCCCAAGACTGTTCAGGCCAGCCTGGTACAGGCCTGCATGGTGGCTCCCAGGCTTTAGCTCACGGCAGCTCCTGACAGTTTACAGGACAGGCTCAGGGCAACCCAGTGTCCTTGTAGGATGCAAATGGCTCTCCCTACTCTGGCTCAAATATCTCAGGTTGCTGGCACCGGGTGCTTGGGGTCTACTGGGAAGGTGGTGCTGGGGACACCTCCATTGGACCACATCCTCATCAGTCCCTTGAGCCTTCCTAGCCAGACCCTTGTCCACAGCTGCTTCGGATCCCCAGGCTGCTCCCAGCTGTGAAGACCCAGGGGGCTCCACTCACCTGCCTGCAGAGGCGAAGTGGGCTTCCTTCTGGAGACTTGGCACCAGCAGTCACAGCGTCCCGAGATGCCCAGGCTCGGAGCTGAGGATCACGGCGAGGAAGACACCTCGGCGAGAGGAGTGGTGAACTCCTCTCTTTGAGTAGGTGGTCTCTGGAGGCCATACTGCAGCCAGCACCACTCTTAGGCTGTGGCATTCGAGGTAACTAGAGGGCACCCATACTGCATCTGCAGGGGCAGCCAATGAGTTCAGTGCAGAAGCAACAGGCAAAGGCAGTCTCCTCCCTTGGGGCATTTAAGCCTTGGGAACATAACGCCTTAAACTCCATCCACGTACTCAGGAAGCACCCCACACCCTCAGCACCCAGCTGGCTAAAGGGTGTCGCTCTGATGCCCTTGCAGACCAACCCTCGAAACAGCTCTGGAGCCAGGTGACGGAGGTTGGGCATAGCAGGCTGGGGCAGAGCAACTGCATCGGCGCGAAGACCGTTAGCCCTCTCGGCCCTGCTGTGGGAGGGAAGTGTTGTGGTTGGTTTAATGTCATCTTGTCACAAATTAGGTGAGCAGGGAGCCTTACCTGAAGAACTGTCCTGATGGCTTTCGTGTGGGAAGGTGGCACCCTCGGGTGGCAGCCAGCTAACAAGGGTTTACCAGGAGGGAAGAGCGGGATCACCCTGCCCTCTGCTCGGAGTGGCTTTGCCCCACTGGCACCACTGCTGACTGATAGTTCAACTAGAGTTTCTAAGTTTTCACTGTGAAATGGCGATCAGTGGCACTCCAGAAACCTTCCGGGCTTCCAAGTGCCGGACTGGAACTACCTTGTGGACTCAAGTGGCTGAGGGTCGTCGCCCCAGTGAGAGGCAAGATGTTGGGACAACCCTAGCCTCCAGGTTCAAGGACCACGTGAACTACTTAGTTCTCAGCACCATGGGCAGAGTTTTGCTGTGGCTAGCATTGTAAAGCTCATTCAAGGGGCTGGAGAGACGGCTCAGTGGTTAAGGGCACTGACTGCTCTTCCAGAGGACCTGGGTTCCGTTCCCAGCACCCACGTGGTGGCTCTCAACCATCTGTAACTCCAGTCTGATCTCTGCAGGTACACCAGGCATGTCTGCGGTGCAGAGAGGCATACAGACCAAACAGTAATATGCATAAAATATAAATAATAAAAAGAGAACAAGTATTTTTTACAAAGCCGTTCTTAGTAAACTCTGATTGATATCAGAATTAATATACACACACATATATTAACATATATGTAAAGTCCTCTAGAGCAGTGGTTCTCAAGCTGTGGGTCATGACCCCTTTGGGATTTGAACAACCCCTTCCCAGGGGTCACATATCAGATTCCCTTCATATCACATATTTACATCACAATACCTAACCGCAAAATTAGTTATGAAGTAGCAATAAAAATAACTGTATGGTTGGGGGTCACCCCAACATGAAGAACTGTACTGAGGAGTCACAGCAGTAGGAAGGTTGAGAACCACCATTCCAGAGAACCCTAAGGCAGGCACCAAGGTGACAGCGTGGCTCTTTTGAGTTTTTCAGACCAAACCCAACGAGATAGGTCTGGTCATTTTGGTCAGGCCAAATAATGCTCACCGCTGACACAATGGGACTGAACAGGTGAAGAGTTCACACCAGGAAACAAGGGTCACCCAGGACATGCTCAGCACAGGTGTGACTGCTGGACATTCACACTCGTGAGTAAGAACACTAGAGGCCTCACCATGGGCAAGGACCCTGATCCCTACCACAGACAGTACCTTTCACCATGAAACACGGCACACTGTAACTGCGGAGGAGACACCCGCCACCTCCACCGCAGGCATCAGCCCTGTGTTCCCTTTACAGGTGTGAACGCCCCATACCACAGGTGTGAATGCCTCACAACCTGACCACAGGCTCAGTTACTCAACCCCCGCCACGTGATGCAAACACCCCATAGCTTCATCCTGGCGTGAACACACCACACCCTTACCACAGGCAACACAGTTATTGTGACGTGAAGACCCAGCAGCTTCTCCACAGGTGTGAACACTTATACATGGTTACTGCACACAGGCACCTCCCGGCTTCCCCACAAGTGTGAACACCTCTGTGCAACGGCCATGGGTGTGAGCACCCAATGTGTCCCCACAGGTGTGAGCACCTGACATGGTCTCTACAACAAGAGTACCTGCTGGCTCCCTCACAGCGGGAAACACTGGACGCCGTCTGAGGACTCTCCTTGGGGCCAATGCTCGCCGCTGGCCCTTTGGCCCTGGCTGCCTGCTGCCCAGCGAGAAGCAGAGTGGAAACGTTGTAACTTGAGTATAATTTGCTTTTTAATTGGAACAACGTGTAAATGACAGAATGCCGCCGTGCACGAGGGCGGCCACAGAATATGCATCAAGTCCATTCTGCCCAAGGAAGGGAGGGGGGAGGGCGCTGTGCTGTGTGCCGTCACCCTGCCCCCAGTCCTGCGTATGGTGGGGTAACCGCCTTGGCCGGCACACGCCTCTGGAACGGTAAGCAGAGACCAAAGCACAGCGGCAGTAACACGGGGGAGTCCTTGTGTGAATCGTCTGAATTAACGCATTGAAGGTATCAAAAATATACCCTGTAAGCCAACACCATTTACACCACCTTCCCTCCCTCCCATCGCTGCAGCGACGGCCGGGAACGGTCCAGTTCCTACCGACATCCGTGCCCCAGGCCAGGCCTGGCTCCTTGTGCACCCACCTGCTTTGGTGGGCTCCCAGTCTTGTGGGCTGGGTGGCCTTTGGGGACTGCGATGACAGCGTTGGGGCAGAATAAGCTGGGAACGTCTGTCCAGAGCGCGAGCGGGCTGGGGGCGGAGGGAGGGGCAGGGCCGCGAGCTCAGCTTAGACTTTGGTTCCAAATGCGTTAGGGGGTGAGGCAGTGGCGTGGAGGTGCCTGGTCATCCTGCGTTGGGTCCCTGCTGCCCCAGAGGCATGCGTGCAACTGACACATGATCACTGTACCCCCTCCCGGCCCGCTGTCCTCCTCTCCTGTCCACTCCCCTCTCGAGCACCAGGTAAACATCCCCTGAGTAAGGTCACTGCGCAGGGCCAGCCCGGGTGGGAGTCTTAGTTAAGGCTTTAGACAGGCAGGATGCCAGCTCTGGATGGACAGATGGGTGGACGGATGGATGGACGCGCAGGCAGACTCAGGGACGCCTTCCTCAGTGGGGGGAGTCGGCAGCTGTCTGCTCCATGCTGGGCTGCTTTGGCCTCATGCAAGGATCTGGCACTGTTCCCCCCCCACAGTTTGGGGTCACTCGCTGTCTGAGAGTGTCTCGTACTGTGAACACAGCAGTGGCTTCGGCTCCTCATCCCAGGCGTGGTGGGGACCTGCCAGGGGCCCGCTGCCTGCGGCAAGGCCAGGTGGGGGCGGAGAAGCCATGACACCCGCCTGTAGCCGCATAATCAAAGGGTTGTAGGGGAATGGCGTGGAGCCTGCAGGGAAGACGAGAGAGCAGTGGAGAGAGGCTCTGGAAGCACGGCAGCCACCTCAGGATCCGTCTATCACAAGCAGCCAGAGCCTGGGCCTCTTGGGCCAGCACCGTTCAATTCCTCCTATTCTGGAAGTTTCTCAAAACTGGCCCTCTCCCTGCCTCTCTACTGCATAGCCCTACCAAGCCCCTTTGCTTGAACTGCGGTAATAACCTTTCCATTTCTCCCTTCGTTCTGTCTTCTACTGCCTTCAGCTTTCCCGTCGAAACCCTACAGTGCAGGCACAGAAGGATGCCAGGTTCCACTGTATAACCAACCATGCCTGGGAAGCTGTGCAGGGCCCTCTGATCTGTTCCTTCCTACACCCTTCATTGCTGGGGCCCACGGGCTGCCTCCCCTGGGTAACCTGGGTCACCCCGAGTCTGTATCTCTGCCCTGGCTGATGCCCACCTGCAGATGAGGGCCTGTCCTCCCACACACGGTTGGTGAGTGGTGTTCGGCGATTGCAGTCCCCCTCCGAGTGTACTGAGGAGACAGAAGGTGGTCGGTCTCCGGATGCCAGGCCTGGGGCTGGGGACTTGGCTTTGCGGCTGCTGGGTCTGCCAGAAACCTTGGCTTTTCCACCACCACCTGCAGGGGACAAAGCGGAAAGGGGCTAAGTTAGATGGTGTCGAGAGTAACACACCTACACCAGCTCTGAGGAGGAGCAGTTGGGCAGGGGGTTTGATTCCTGCCTTGGGGAGCCGCCTGCCTCCTAGAGCCTCAAGACAGAAAACTAGTGGGAGAAACCCTCTCACACTAAGGTCTACCAGAAGGCCAAAGCCAGTCCCTTGCATGGAGAATAGAAGAGCATTCCTGTGAGGGAGGTTGATGACTATTTGCCCAGGTGACCCTGCCACCCCCGACTGTACTCCTCAATGCTAAGTGTCAGATCTTGGCTGGGTGACAGATATTGTCCAAGACAGCACCGAGATGTGCTAGACTAAGTGAAGGCCTCTACTGAGAGGCCCAGAACCTGAGGATGGCCTGACCTAAGAAAGGGACAGCAAAACACCTCTTTGCTTATGTGCCTCTGCTGGGGAACAGCGTGTGCTGACGGGCACTGGAAAAGTGAGAGATGACCTTGTGTTGCCTGGCCCTCAAGGGGTCATGCCCACACTAGACTCTTCCCAGCAGCTCTGGCCACACATGGTGGGCCTGGCCACTGCCATCCCTGTCCACGCAGCAGGGGAGGAGGGGGCGGGGCGTGGGTAGCAGTGTGAGCATGGGAGAAGCAGCGCAGTGCTGGGGGCAAAAGGGGGGCCCCTCTGCAACACGGGGTGTCAGACCAGCTTTGGATTAGCAAACTAGATGTCAAACACACACAAAAATAAGGTCACAGGCTCCCAAGCTCAAGGGGGAAGGTGAGAGGATTAACGACACCGGGGTGGGGAAGGACACAGCCGGGCGGGCGGGCGGGGCAGGCCTGCAGACCTGGCGAGGTGAGCGCGTGGTCACTCCGTCCGTCAGCAGTGGTTATGGGCATAGCGGCAGCGGGCAGACTGGCACTGGCATTCAGAGGGTTAAAAGCATTGGCGCCGAGCGGCGGGGGCTCTTCCCACTGATCATATTTACCCATGAGTGCCTTTCTAATAATGGCCTCTAGCCCCATGTTGGTGCTGGCGTGTTCTTGCACCGCCTGGCTTCTACAGGTCATAAGGCCTGGGAGAGAGACAGACAGACGGACACATGGGGGCAGGGCCAGGGCCGGGAAGCCAGAGGGTCGCAAGAGAGAAAGAGGAGGGAGGAGAGAGAGAGAGAGAGAGAGAGAGAGAGAGAGAGAGACACAGTGAGCACGTGAGCACACATCTGCTGAGCATCGTCCCTCCCTCCGCCCGCCTCTTTCTGTAGGGTGCAGATAGTGTTCCTGACTGTCCCCGAAACTCATGGCTGTTCCAGGGAGGGGGTCTGGGGCAGCAAGAGGGTCCCCAGCCCTATTCCTACTCTGTACCCCAATCCCAGCCGAGGCTGTTCATTTAATTTTGACTGTGAGTGGGTGGCCTAAGGAGCAGGGGTAAGGAGGCTGTTGGTGCCACTGAGTCAAGCCAAAGCTAGGTGCTGGGGACAGGGGGATAGGAGAAGTCTAGATGGGGTGTTCTGGACTCTAGGAAGGGATGTGGGGAGGGAAGGGGACCAGAGACAGGACCTCCTGCTGTCCCCGTTTCCTCAAGGCGTTAGGGACCTAGCTCAACCTACTGGATCCCCTTGAGCTGGGCTCGCCTCCACTGCCCCGTCTCTCCCCATAGGAGCCAGAGGAGAAGGGTATAAAGCTGGGCATGAGGAGGTGGGGGGTGCGGTGGGGGTCACAGCCATGCAGTTACGTGCGTGCGAGGACAGGGCTAGGGCAGCGCTAGACAGGTGTAGGGCCATTCCAGCCCTCGCTGGCCTGGCTCCAGGCTGAGTGGTCAATCAACAAACTGGCCTCAAGAGATGTTTATAGCCTCCACTGAACCTCCACAAAGCCTCTCTGGCACACATACTCTCTCTCATGTGAACTGTGCTATAGGACTTTTTGCAATTGCCAGGGTGGGCAGGTGTCTCTTTGCAGTGTTTCAGGGTGCTTCCAGAACCTCTTGAGGGCTGGAGCCTGATTAGCAGTCCTGGAACCCAGGTACTTAGGCACTGAGGCAAGAGCACAGCAAGGTTGAGGCTAGCTTAGTCTACAGAGTGAGTTCAATCCAATCAGAACTAGCCTGGGCAGCACTGAAAGGAAAAAGGAGCTGGACTGGAGCTCAGGGGCAGGGCACCAGCTTGGTGAGTACAAAGGCTTTGCTTCAAAGTCCCAAATACCAACAAAATTTCTCTAAACCCAGACAAACAATAAAAAGAACAACAAACCCACCACCAAAACCAATCAACCAACCAACCAACCAACCAACCAACCAACCAACCAACCAACCAACCAACCAACCTACCCACCCCAATCTCCACCACCAACAAAAACACAAACAACAACAGAAACCTATCTGCAGCATTCTCAGCCTATGCCTCAGGCCAGTTTGTGGTACCCTGTGAACCTCCAGGGTGCCTGAGCCTTATGAAAACCACACGGCCAACATGCTGGCAAGTCCCTGGTTTGTAAAGTAGCTTCTGAGGATGGGAGGGGCAGTCACTTTCACAGTCCCACTTCTACTGGCAGCAGAAGCTTAGGCTTCAGGCAAGCTTGGGACAAGGGGCCACTCACAACACCTAGTCATCTTCCCTCAGTGCTAAGCAAAAGTCAACAGGAAAAAGCTAAATTCCCAACACCGGTGGACACTTACAAAACAAATAAACAAGAGGGGCGTGTCCTGATGGAGCAGCACCCTTGGGCTTTGTCCCCAGGGTGTTGAGCTCATGGTTCCTTATTCACCTCTGGCAGGGTGCTAAGTGTCACAGCCAGCCCTGGAAACATGTCTTTGAGAGCTAACATTTAAGGGGAATGTATGACTAATATATGTATGTGTGTGTATGCATGAGATAAATAAGTTACATTTTAGTGCAAATCACTGTATTACCCCCAGGAATGTCTACACACACGTACACCTGAGTGTCTAGCACCCATGTCAAGACTTAGAACATCCCAGAATATTCCAACCATATTGCTGTCTGGATCACGTTTCTTTCTGGAAAGTCCCCAGTATGTTTCTGGGCTTGTGATGTTCCCTGCCGGGATCCCAAGCCCACTTTTTCAGGTCCTGTGGTCCTCTGGAAATGTCCCCAATGGTGTGCCTGTCCACCTCATTCTCAGGGCCCGAGGCTTTACACAGTCCTGAGGAAGGTTAGCAACCCTTGCCTGTTCCTCTGCCGGGAGTGTGGGCCCCCACAGATGCCCCGTGCCACAGTCCCAGTTCAGGTGTCACTGAGCCCATTGGGTCCCATGCCAGTTTCTTTCCGGGGGCAATGCAACTATAACCAAGGGGCCCTGACCAGGAGCCTGGGGCCCCTTCAACCCTTCAGCTGTTCTGAGTCCCAAGCACCATACAGAAAGCCTGAAATTTCTGCCACAAACCACGTGTGAGTTTGACACTATCTCGCTCACGTTATAGATCTGCACTTGATTTAGAAAAAGGCCGAGGCTCCTGGCTGGAACCCTCAAATGCAGACTCTGGTGTAAGAGACGCCTGCGGCACCCAGAAGCTCTGCACCCTAAGGCCAACCCACCTGATGACACTCCCCAGCCAATGGGCAAGAGCTTCCAGGTGGCATATGTACCTAACACCCACAGCACACTTGAGGGACCCTGACCTCAAGCCTCAGGCACCCCTCATACGGGAGGACTCTAGTCAGTAGAAGCTGGCCTTCTGCGTCACTGAGTCCACTGAGGCTAGCAGGGTAGAACGTGAACTGGCTAGAATTCCTTGTCCCCAGGTCAGCAGTTGGGGAAGGGAGCACTATGCAGACGTGTGAGAGGGTTACCTGTTCCAGTGATGGCGGGCATGTTGAAGATTTCCGTCCCAGGCTGGCCAATATCTAGAGCAGGGTAACAAGGTGGGGAGGCCTGAGCACACAGGTCCGAAGGACATCTGCACTCCTACTTGTCCCCTGTACAGTCTGGGCACAACAGGGACCTGACGCCCCAGGTTTACTCGGGTGGTTGGTCAGTAAACTAGGCCTGTGCTACCTGCAAAGGCGTTTACAGTCTAATTCCTGAAGGGAAGAGCCTTGCCTATCTGTCCAAGACACTCTGGGGAGGGGACAGTGCACCGCCCTCACTTGCTGCTTCCTGGTGTTCCAAAAGCATATGGTCCATGTGACCCTGAGCTAAGGACAAGAGTCCTTGTCACCCTATCAGCCATGGTGCAAGCACCAGGTCTGTGGCAGACAACTGGAGCAGTGTGCTGTGCTCCCCAGGACAGGGAAGTTTGTACTGAGCACCCGAGGGTGCCGGGTATCACTGTAGTGACATGTGCCACACCAGTCAGTCCCCGCTGGCGGCATGCCGGGCTCTTCAGGGTGGGGTTTAGAATGCCAGCTCCCTCCCAGAGCCAGCTCCAGCCCTGGCTCCCCTCTTACTGTATTCTGGCTCGTTCCGGTTGTGGGTGTTGAGTTTCTTGTTGATCTCTTGCTTCTTAGACTTCACCATGGCGGAGTTGCTCTCGGTCAGCTTACTAAAGAAGGCTGGCGGCTGGCTGGTGTTGCCTGGAGACTTGGAGCCCATCCTGCAGGGAGTGTGAGACACCAGGTCAGCAGGCTGGGCACTGAGCTCGCTCGCTGGCCGTGAGCAGCAGGGAGCGCCCGCATGAGTCCCAGCGAGCCGCTAAGGACCGTCGCAGACCTGCTGGGGTCTCTAATTAGCTGTGGCTTGCCTGGGGCAGCTCGCGAGCCTCCCCGGCGCACTATGAGTGGTGCCCAGGAACTTCTTATAGCTAGATTTGACACAAGAAGCCCTAGGAACTGAGCAGGCGCATGTCACCTCCTCTGAGGCTGGAGGCCTGTCCCACCATGTCCACACCCACCCCTACCCTGTCTGACCCAGCTTTGTTCACTTTCAGATCCTTAGCAGGAGAAAGGACACAGCTCAGGCTGAGGTCCCAGATGGATGGCACAGGGTGCTGCCACCGAAGGCCCCTGAAGGTGTATGAACCCGCTGGGCTGTGAAGCGGTTTGCAGCCTCCGAGGAGAGGGCTGAGAGCACGGGTGGACTTGGAACTGACACAGCCACTTTGGAGTGGGGTTTGTGCCATGGGTACCTGGGCTCCCCCTGTTCCCCGTCCCGATACAGCAGTGGGTATGCGGTGCTCCGGGAGTGTCCTGGCTCGGTCATGCCCTCTGGGGGGGACACAGGCTCAATGCCATCCTCGGTGCTGCCCAGGACTGAGGATTTGCTGGGTTCTGGGGACCTAATGGAGAGAGCACCCCAGATGATGGTGAAATTCTTCCCCGCAGAGGGGACAGCCTCCTGCCCACAGCGGGGATTTGCGTGTTTCTCGGTGAATGGCCAGGTGGTGACACCTGAGGTACGGAGACCCCAGTGGGTTGTTGTGATCGGGCCACGGGTAGGTAGGCCCCTTTCAACTAATCTATCAATAACCCACGGCCTTCTGAATCGGTTCTTGCTGTGCAGTCCAGGCACACACAGGAAGCTCACAACCTCTTGCCTCAGCCTCCCAACAGCCCCCTCGCCTGACCTCAGGGCTGTGTGCCACCATGTTTGAACCCTGATGAGATGCCCATTCCAGGACCTCACTGTCCCCCCCGAGATCCGACTATCTACATCTGTGTTCTTCAAATCGGACTCCTCCCAGGCACCTTGCTCTGCTCCTGAGCCTAGGCCAGGCCCAGCCAGGGCAGGAGGAGTGTGTGCACTGGACGGGATGCTAACTCACCTCTCTATGCTTCGGTTTCCCCATCTGCTAAATGGGAGTGAAACCTCTGAGCTCTGGCTGGGACCCTTGGGTGTGCCATGTTCCAAGATCACATAATTTGTGCTGCTTCTGGGACCTGAGTGGGCTGTCAGTTTCCCATCAGCCCAACACTCGGTTGGACTCACCCCCACCCTACTGTTCCCCAGCCAGCATTTGATGTAGATGAGACTTCCTCCTCACCTTTTGCCCCCTTCACTGTGGGGGGACCCTCGGGCTGGGGTGCCATGGTCGGGGGGTGGGAGGTAGAGATCACTGGGTGGGCGGCGGAGATCCAGGACAGGGCAGCTGGCTCCAGGAAAGGAGTAGAGAGGGGCAGGAAGGGGGCCGCTGAGCTGCTGCGGGTGGCGGCGTGTGTAGTCCTGTGTGATGACCTCCTGCAGGGAGAGGGCAGTTCAGCCACCACCCTGCCAGAACCTTCCAACTACGGCAGGGCAGAACCATGACCTGGCTCTTGGTCTCCTGGGGGAGTGTCCCCGTGTGGGCCATACAGAGATGGCTGCCAAAGAACTGGGTGTGGTGGCCAGCACACGTCAGCACCTGCCTGACTCTGGGATAGGGCCCTCACATCCGCCTGCTCTCCCAGTAGCAGGGGCCAGGCACTTACACTGATGTGCTGAGCCAAGGTGACCACCCGCTGGTGACCTTTGATGCCCGGGGCAGTCTGGAGGAGTGGGCTGGATGAGGACTGGCTCTCGGGCAGTGGCCGCAGGTGCGGAAGGTGGGCAGCCTCCCCACTGAGCTTCATGGGGCCTGAGGACACAGCAGAGCTCGTCAGGGGCTGGGGACAGATTGGAGTTGTGCCTCGGTTTCCCCACCTGCTACACTCCCCGGTTGTCACCTGGCTGCTTGTGCCGCAGCTCACCCTCCAAGTGACTCTTCTCTAGCTCTTCCAGAGGTTTGGACAGACCTTTGTCGTGGGTCAGGCTGGGTGAGCCCACGGGGCTGATGGGCTCCACCCCATCAGGGCTGTAGCCAGCTCCACTGTGGTAACCTGTAACAGGCGGGCTGGAGTCACAATGTGGCGTGGGCTTGGGTTTGAGCTGGGCTTGGGAAAAGCCACTCCTCGGCACTGGCTGGGCCTCAAGATGGAAGGAAATGATACTGGCCTAGGGGTGGCCAGAGAGGAGGAATGGTGAGTGATGGGAGCTTCCATATACTAGGACACACAGATGGACACACTCAAAGGACTGTGGAAGTCTGGCTTGGGCAGTAGGGGCCAGGGTGTGGGAGAACAGACTGGCAGGTGGTGGCGGAGAAAGGGGAGGGAAGGTGTGAGTACGCAGGGTTGGAGTGTGAGGGTCTGGGGGTGTGGGTCACAGCCCCACTGTACCTGACCCAACACAGAGAAGCTTCATTCTCTTTGGACTGTATGCTAGTGTGGGAGGGAGAGGTGGGTACCCAGCGCCCTGGACTGACCCCCTGCCCCTTCTCTCCCCCCTCACTCCCTGCCTTAACTTCTTCCTCGAACAGTGGCGGCACAGTCAGCTGGTAGACCCGAGTCCCCACTACCCCAAACGAAGGTGCAGGTGGTAGTGGGAGATGGGGGGACGCGGTCGGAGTCCAAACCACAGATCCATTCATTAAAGAAAAAAAGGCGAAAAATCCAAAAAGAAAAAAGGAGGAAAAAAAAAAGGGAAAAAGAAAAAACTCATGATGGAAGGGTGCATACGATGAGGCGCCCTGTGGGCTGGGGTCACCACAGCGTGCGAACTGATGAGGACGAGCTCAAAATAAAACACCAAAACCAACCAAAAAAGGGGGGAAAAATTAAAAGCAAAGATCTGAAAATATCTTTAGGCCACAGATGGGGTGGGCAGGCGGCGGGCCGGATGTCTTACCGTCGCCAGGGGAGTCGTTGGCCAGCGAACCTCCTTCTCGCGGCCCCCTTTCGTGAGCAATTTGACGCGTGATTATTGCGTCTATGAACGTGGCCGCTGTCAGGGTGGTCTTACCCAGAGAACGGAGTTCCAATTCCTGGATGGAAAAGGGTTTACTTTGAGTCTTTTCTCGGTGCAGATCTGAGGCTGAGGCGGGCGCCGGCGGGTCCGGACTGGCATGGTGGGGTGCAAGGCTCTTTGCTGGGGTGCGGGCGATGGCTGTGTGGCTGGAGCTGGGGGGTGCTAGGGATCGGGGCTCGGAGCTCTTGCTGGGTGAGGAGGCAGGCTCCCGGGCTGGGGGCTTGGCGAGGAAGGCATGGCCAGTGTCCACACGGGGCCGCTCAGGCCGGGTAACCCGAGAGGTCTCCTTGGGTAACAGGACGGGCTCCATCAGCGTAGGGTAGACCCCTTCAAGGGTGCCACCGAGTGGGCAGTGGGTAGCAGGTGGGAATGTGGCAGCTGGGCGGACAGGCGAAGAGGTGGAGGTGGACCTGGAAGGGAAGAGGAAGGTTCAGGCAGCGCCGGCCAGGGAATCACTACCTCACATCCCTGGAGTCCCTGACTACGCCTCTCACTCCCTGAGGCTGCCAGAGTAAGGCTGCTGGCCTGACTGCCTTCGCTGTGCTTGGCCCCACTCAGTCCCTCTCTCCCAAAGCTTTTCACCCAACCCCGACCAGGTGCCGAGAACCGTCACAGACCCTCAGAATACAGCGGTAATTAAGGCAAGGGTGCTGGAGCTTTTGAGAAAACAGCAACCCAGATGGGAAGACAGACTATTCCCTCCTGAGGGCAGCCACTACCACATGGCCAGATGCCACCGAGGTGCGTGGAGGGTAGGAAGCCCGAGTAGGGCCAGTAGGAGGCACTCCTTGAAGCTGGCACACATGCACGGCCTCTCAGAGTGAGGAGCACGTGTGCCAGCAAGCATGGACTAAGTTCATGTCGGCAACTGCGGGCAGCACTGGCCCTGTAGCCACGAATTAAGCTCCCTGTCCCAGTTTTCAGCTGATACTCCTGGGCCTCATGCACTAGCTGCCACCGACTGACTTATGCACCCACCACCTGTCAGTCTATCTGTCCATCCTCCCACCCACCTACTCTCCCCTCCATTCTTCTGCCCATGTTCATCTACCCATTCACCCTTCCAACCACCTGTCCATCTTGCTACCCTCCCCATGTATCCATCTGCTCATCTATCTATCCATTCACCCACCCACCACCCACCCACCCACCATCCATCCATCCATCCATCCCCACACTCATCCACCTTTCTACATGTCTCAATTTATCTACTGACACATATACCATCCAGCTGACCATCATCCACCTGTCCACTCATTCATCTATGCATCTGCCTACCCATCCGTTCGTCCATCCACTCATCCACCTAGTCTGATTCACCCATTCGTCCATCCATGAATTTATCCATCCATCTACCCACCCATCCAGCTGCTCCAACCCATTCAGCCATCCACCTGACCCATCCACCTGCTGCTCTCCCGCACATCCATCCTCCAATCCATCCGTCCACCCATCAATTTGCCATCCATCTATGCATATATGCATTCCACAATCCATCCACCCGGCCCCACCCCCATCCAGCCAGTTAGCCATCCCTCTTGCTCTTCATTCACCCAAAGCATCCTCTATCCGCCTGGCTCCCTGTGGACCTCTCTGATCACCTACTCCCTACATACCCTCTCCTCTGGGCCAGCCTACACGCCATCTATCTACCCACTCTCTCATAACCTTCTCATTCATCCACGCCCCTTCCAATCCTGCCATCTGCTCAACCCATCTGCCCATCCACACAATCCCCTCCCACTTAGCAAATCCATCTGTGTGCCCTCCCCCCAGGCTTGTTCCCCCCGGTGCCAACCTGGCCCACCTCAGGACCGTGGGCGTGCCGGGTTCCACGGAGGTGACCACGCCCTTCATGCTCGTGTTGTGCAGCACACTGGGCCTCTGCTGCAAGGCGTCCTGGGTCCGGGGGGAGATGGGCGAGTGCTGGTGGGTGTGGGAGGCGGGGCGGCTGCTGCCCCCAGCCCCGCTGCTCTGCTCCGTACCTGGTGACAGGCCGCCGAGTCAGGGGGCAGGCCCAGGTGGCCCATGAGGACCTGGGGGTGGGGCGGGGTCTGGGGTGCCCTACCAGGTCTCCAGATGGGTGCATGCTCCACTGTGGTGGTGGACGTGAGGATGGACTTGTCCCGCTCTCGCTCACGTTCCCGTTCACGCTCCGATGAAGATGTGGCAGTTGGTTTAGCCAGGTGAGTGGGGCCTCCTGGAAACACCAAGGCCAGAGTCTGAGGCAGAGCCCAGTGGGCCAGAACTTACCTACAGGGCACAGGGAGTGAGGTAGGCACCCCCCCCCCCACCCATTAGGAAGGTGTACCTGGGGACAGTGGTGAGCTGCTGTGGCGGCTGCTGAAGGGCGGGGGTGCCGTGGGGAGGTAGGCAAGGCGGTCAATGGCGGTGGCGGGGGTGCCTGGCGTTGGTGGCACCAGCACGGGCAGGTGTGGCACTTGGGACAGGTCGATAATGCCTGCAGGGGTGGGGTGGGGGTGTCAGCTGTAGGTGCGTGTCCACCTGTCCCCAAGGGTGTAGGCCTGAGACCTTTCAGCTGGCAGTGCCTCTCCTCCCTGCCAAGCTTGGCCCCAGGCCCCCTTTTTCCAGGGCTCTAGTGTGTAGTGTCTCTCAACCAACATCTTGAGCTAAAACATGGCCTCTCCTTGTAGACAACCTTGAGCCGCAGTTCCACTCCCTGCACTCAGCCCTCACCCTCTGAAACCCCCAGAGTGGCTTTAGCGTCCCTAACTGGAGCCAACAAGGTTGTTCCTGAACAATCACTGCAAAGTGACTGGGCTGCTCACAGGCTCTGGAGGTCAGTGCTCCAAACAGCCTCGAGCTCTCTCAGTTCTCTTCCTTGATTTTATCATTTGTACTGATACAGTTATGTAGCCCAGGCTGGCCTCAAACTTTATGTAGCCGGGGCTGGCCTCGCCCGCCTGATCCTCCTGCTTCTACCTCCTGAGTTCTTAAGAGTACAGGTGTGCAATCACAGGTCCAGCCTGTGTTCTGATCTCTTGGATGCCTTAAGATATCTCATACCAAGGACTCAGAACAACATGCAGGCCCACTGTACATGGTAGCAAGAGGTGCCTGCTGTGCACACCGCTGCCAGATGTGGCTTGATACAAGCAGCACTTCCCCACTTTCCCCAAGGGGCCAGCATGTGCCAACTAGTCCACCCAGCCAAATGGGTGCCCTCAGTGGCATCCACATGGCCCATTGTGTCCACCTTGCATACTGCAGGGTATATATGAACACTCGTGTCTCTTGTACACTATGGCACAGGACCAGGCTCTGCTGATGGGCCCGGTCTGGGCGACTCACCTCGGGGGCCAGCAGCATAATTGAGGGCCAGTGAGGACTCCCGGGGCGACAGACCCCTCAGCATATCAGCACGCTGGGCCATGGCAGACGCAGCGTTGTGGTGCATCTGCTGTGAGGTGATGTAGTCGTTGATGATGGTCTGGCGGTTCTCCAGGGCCGCGGTGTCGGGGTAGCCGCGGATGAGGTAAGGCGGGTACAGGTGGGGGTAGGTGGGGCTGGGGGCCAGGTGCCGGGGCAGGTAGTAGGCTGCAGCTGCTGGGGAGAGAGGGAGGGTCAGGTGGCCCATGCCTTGGCTTCATGCTCCCCACTTCCGCACAGACAGCTTCTTCTCCTTGTGCACCCTCATGCCTCCCCAATGCACACACTGAGCTTAAGGCCTGCTCCCTCATCACATGGACTGTCTGCTGCCAACGTTTGGGAAGTGCTCCCCGATAGACTGCATCAAAATACAGGTCCTGACACCCTAACAAAGGTGCCTTTAAAAAGGCTCCACACCATGGCACACACTGGAGCCCTCATTTAATGCACTTGCAAGGCACAGATGAGTCCTGCAGGAAAAGAAGCCCACTGAGAAACCCGAGTCTGAGCCCACCCCTAGGGCCTGCCCTGGGTTAACCGGCTGGTGATCTCAGCACTGAGCCTGTCCCTGACTGTCCAGACCCTGAGTGTCCCACCCAAGGAATCCCCAAATCTGTGGCCCAGGTACCCACCTGCGTCCAGAGGGATCCCTCGGGGTATGGAGGTGGGGTCAAAGGCCAGTGGGATGTGGCCACGGTACAGGTCCACACCACTTACGCCCCGGAGCAAGTGCTCGTAGGGGGAGATGGGGTGGGGGTGGTGCTCCGGCACAGTGCTATGTGGAGACTTGGCGATCTCCCGGGGTGTTGACGTCAGCTTCCGGTCCTGGGACGCCTTGCTGGATAGGAGGCTGCCTGTGGGGACAGGTCGCAGTGGTCTCAGCCTCAGTGTAGGGCCACCAGGCTGAGCTGTCACAAGCCTCAGCATCTCCTGCTTCTGTGCTCTTGGTTCCTTGTGAAAACATTCATTTATTCACTGGTCCCTGTTCATCATTCATTCACTTCATCAGGCTGAATTAACTGTGGCCTGGCAGTCCCCGTGATGAGAAGAGGAATCACCCCAAGAACAAAGCAGACAAGAACGCTGAGCCCCAAGGAGCCACTGTTCCAGGCAGGAGATGAATGACAAGGTAAGAAGCACATGGATGAGAGAGAGATTTGAATATAATCTCTCAATGCTTTGGGAAACGGTCCCCGATATAACACATCAAGATACAGGTCCTGGCACAATGATACATCCCAGCCAGGATGTGGCTGCAACTGGCTGAGGTGGCCATGACCTCCCCAGGCCCTGACACCTGAATACGGTGGTATGGGGTATCCAGGGGTTGGCTGGGAACTAAAGGTGGAGCCTTCTGAACAGAGGGCCCGCACAGGAAAGGCTTCGTACATGGAAGGAGCTGAGAATGGGGAGGAAGCCAGGGAGGGACCTGGGCAGAGAGAGTCAGAGAAGGAAGAGGCATGGCGGAGGGGATGCCACATGCAGGTGCTCCGGGGCAGCAAAATTCCTGGAGAGATGTACGCCAGCGAGGGAGAACGTTTCACTTAAACTATTACTATCCTCATCTGTGTGTGTGTGTGTGTGTGTGTGTGTGTGTGTGTGTGTGTGTACATGAATGTAGGGGAACACGTGGCATGATATATGTATGTGTGTGCGAAAAAGAGAGGGGTTGGTTTTCAGCTTCCACCAAACTTGAGAAAGACAGTTGTTTGTGGTCTGTGACCTTCAGGAGACTCTCCTGTCTCACTGTGAAGCATGAGAATTACAGGCGTGAATGAGTGTGTCTGGTTTATGTGGGCATTGGGGATTTGAACTCTGATCCTCATGCTTGTGCGGCAAGTACTTTAGCTGCTGAGCCTTCTCCTCAGCCTTGATTTGAATTACTAAAAATGTTCCTGGTAAGAAGGAATACAAGGAGCTCTGTATGGATGTGGAGGCAGGGCAGATGGACAGCTGTGGCAGCAGGCAGTGGCCAGGGTACCCTGTGAGCTGTCCCTTTCCCACAGCTGGCAACCCGAGGGAGGCCAGCCAGCTCACCTTCCTGAAGGCGTGGCGTGGGTTCCCTAGTAGTCACAGGCGAGCCACGTGGTAGGTGGCTGGTGAAGGGTACGCCGTGGTCTTCGTAGGTCAGTGGGCTTTGCCGTGGCTTGCCCAGCTCAGGCACAACGACTGGGGCTCCACGTGTGATGGAACCCCCTGCTCCACTCGTGGTCCCCGACCGGCTCTTCAGACTCTCTTCATAGCAGGCACGCTCCAGCGCCCGGGCATCAGCCATCATGTCCAGTGGGTGCAGGGCAGGGAAAGGCCGGCCGGGGCTGCCGATGATGGAGCGCACATCGTGTTTCTTGGTGCCAGTGGAGGGCGCCCCGGAGTCATACTTGAGTGGCGTGCCCTGGAGACAGGGTGAGGTCTATGTATTTGGCTGTCCAGATGCCGACCTTACTGTATTTCTGCACAGGGCAAGGTATCTCAAAGCCCTTGGCGCAGAGGGACAGAAACCTCTACTAGGAAAAGATGCCCAGGAGGCTAGGCTGGGTGGCCTGCCCACTTCAGCCTGGCTATAGCCCCAAAGCCACCTGCTGATCTAGAGGCAGACAGACTAGAGGTCAACACAACCTTCCTCGCCCAGTGGGACACCCCCACCATCTTGCAATGCTAGTCCAAGACTATGAAGTCTTATGACGGAATCCCACAGCCAGAGGCACCTGCGATGCCCAGGCTGTGGCTCTGGGTCCAGGGCTGGTAACACATTTACTATCAGGGCACCATGCAGAAAGGAATTATTGAATATCACAGAGAGGATCCCATGGGGATCCATGCTGGGGACACTGGGCACAGCGAGGTCCCAGAGCTCAATTTCTTCTCAGTGTTTTTGTTGCTATTAAACTTTAAAATTTTGGTGAACGGTATTAGGCCAGAGTATTGTTTTGTAGCCGAAGCTACCCTCAAACTCACAATCTTCCCGATTCGGCTTCCCAACTGCTAGGATTCAGGAGGGTCCAGTATTTTGCTTACTGCCCTTTGTTTTTCAGAATTCTCTAGCCTCATTCTAGCCCATCGCTGACAGCCCTCCCTAGGTGCCTTTGTCCAGTTCCTTTGTCTTTCTCTTTCCTATCAAGCCCTGGCACAGGAGGGGACAGTGGCCCTAGGGGTGGGACCAGGTCCCCCAGGGCTTCTTGATGCACACATTAAGGTAAAGATGTGGTGAGTCATGGAGTGGTAAGAGTTTAGGACATAAGACTTGGGTTCACAAATGCCATTAGTGACCCAGAGCAAGTTCTAACCACTCTGGGCCTCAATTTATAGACCAATGCAATGGGGCCAGTGTGAGAACCTCCATAGGCTTAGCCATGGCCACGCCCTGGGCCCTCCTATGTGATACTCATACCTGGGTGATGGAACCCTCCTTGAGAGGCCGTGGAGCCAGGGGTAGCTCAGGTGTGCGGCGCAGCTCCTCTCGGGGGATCTCATGAATAGAGCGGCCTGCCTCCTTCACAGTTGCTACCACACCCTCATGAGCTGGCTTCAGCTTCAGGGGACCTAGAGGGTCCAGCGGCCGGGTCTTGTAGGTCTCGGTCAGGTCCCGTGGCGGTGGTGGGGGTGGTGGTGTGCCCTCTCGCTTCAAGAGCTTGGCCTCCCGACGTAAGTAGTCCTCCTGGGCCTCCACATAGGACCTTGGGATGCCTGCCAGACAGAGAGCGCTGACTCTCCACTGCCTTGCCTGGGGGTTCCCCGAAGTGGTGCCTAGAACTAGACTGCCTGAGTTCAAATCCTCCCTTCCTGTGTGACCTTGAATATGCCAACTGACTTTTCTGAGCCTGTTTCTTCACATGAAGTGAGGACACTAACTGAAACCACACTGTACAGCTTATCCCAAGACATTAACTAAGGATCTATTTAGTCTGGGCCTCCTCCCAATTATGAGCAAGGCATGCATTAAGCTTTGGAGTCAGTGCCAAGCGCAGCGTAGTCCCTCTACCTCTAAAGGACACGGTTGGGGGATGGGGTGGGGATCACGCTCTGTTCCCAAACCCCTAGCCTGTGTCTGGCCTGAGGGTAGAACTGCACCATGGGAGGGGTGTACCTTGTGTGATGGAGCCTCTGATGTGATGCTGCTCCTTGAGGTGGGGGCTGTGCTGCTCAGGGATGGCACGACCCATGAGTCCTGGGGAGAGCAGGATGTATCATACGGTGTCCGGGAGGGCTGGGGTCCACCAGCAACAGTCTCCATCATGACATAAGGCCCAGCAAGCAAGCATGCCCTTCCCTGGTTCTGGTTATCTATCTGTTAACCTCGAGCTGTCCCATGTCCAGACACTGCCACATCCCTTTCCCTTGCAGCCTGGCTGCCTGGGAGTCACCCAGAACAGCGCTTCGCCCAGGTGAGCCGCTATGGCAGGGCACTTACCCTCGATGCTGGCTGAGGTGATGGTCCTGCCCACGCGGCCCTCCATCATGTCGTAGGTGCGCTTAGGGGCGGCAGTCTCGTGGGGTGGGCCTGAGCTGCTCCTGCCGTCCTCCTTGGAACACTGTGACACGGACATACCACCTGGGAGACAGAAAGAGCATAAGGTATGGGGCTGGAAGGAAGGCAGGCTGGCTAACTAAGCCTGTGGGGCCCTCACACCAGCTCAGCTGGGAACTGCTCTGGGCAGGAAGAACAAGGCATGCCCCCCACTGCTGTGTAGGTGGGTAGTGTGCCTCTGTGTCCGTGGGTATTATGTGCACACTAACAAAGCCATGCCAACAGAGTGGGAGTGTGCCGGGAAGCCCCCATCAGCTTCTGGAGAGCTCCAGGTGCACAAGGGCGTGTGGTGAGCACTCGGTCCAAGGATCACGTGAAGCCCTTTTCTATGTGTGCCTCAGCATGCTGGGGAGTGAGTGGCTTTGCTTTTCCTGGTAACTTGGATGTTCTGACCATGGGAGATGGAAAAGCAAGCGCTGGCAGCTGAGGGTGGGACGGGCAGTGGCTGACACTTGGAACTGCTTCAGACCCACTGGGCCCAGAAGACACACACGAGTACCCAAGTCTCCACAAAGACGGGCTGGAAGGTTAGAGCCTGAGGCTGTGGAGGCTCCCACTGTGGCTGGGGGCCCTGGCCAGGACCACTGACCACCAGCTCCACCAGCTCTCGGGGCTGTCACTGGGACGTGCAGCTGGCCCGAGGCAGCTGCAGCCCTTGTTCCCGAGACTGTGCTCTATCGGCGGGTGACAAAGCCACATGGGGCCACTTCCGACCTCCAGGACCAGGGGGCTGTCGTGCTCAAGAAATAGAGAAGCTAGCCGGGTGTGGTGGCGCACGCCTGCAGTCCCACTACTCAAGGAGGCAGAGACAGGCAGATCTCTGTGAATTCAAGGGCAGTGTGGTCTACAAAGTGAGTCCAGGACAGCCAAGGCTACACGGAGAAACCCTGTCTCAAAAAAAAAGAAACGAGAAGCTGGCAGACCCCAGGCCTGAGCAGCCAGTGTTGGGAACGCCTGGCCACTGGTACATGTTCCCCAGGCGTGACTTCCTCAGGGCTTAGGTGGCACCGACTGCCAGAGAGACTGTGGTATAGCCAGAGAGCAGGGCGTCTTGGCTATATTACAGACCTTTCCTGTCATGGCACTCAAGGCTTCCCCAAACTTTCCCTAGGGGGAAGCCACGAAGGCCAGCCCTGTCCTCTGCTGGGTTGCACGCCTGCAGGAAAAGAAGTCGTTCCCAGGCTGCTTCCTGGTATCACTTTAGCTCTGCCTGTCTCTAGAGAGGAGTATCTCTACCTCCCCATCTGTAAAGTGGGCAGAACCCTGGCCCAGGCCTCAACCTGCTGAGGCCACCACAGCACCAACTCCAAAGGCACCTGGCCAGAGGACCCCCCCGTCCTTGGCCAAGTGTACGACTGTCTGGGGACACGTGTTGCAGTCCGGTCTTCATGACTCCTAATCAACAAGGGGTTCCCAACTCGCCCCATGTGGGCCTCCTGAGCTGGCAGGGAGGCCCTGTGTGGTGTGTCTTTGCTGTGCCTCAGCCTAGGAACGAGGCTGCTCCCAGCGTTCTTGCTAAGTCTGTCTGGACAACAGAGAACATGGGAATGGTAAAAGGGGGGCCGGTGCAGCCAGCCCCTACTGCTGGTGCTTCTTGGTTGTCCGTGATCCGTACTCACCTTCGTAAGACAGGACGTGGCCCTTCTTGCCCTCGTAGATGACATGGCCCTTGGGCAGGGTGTCCTCCCGTGCCCGGTCAAGGCGACTTGGGCTGTCCTCACCGACAATCCTGCTGATGGTACCTTTGTAGAGGACGTCCGCTGGCGTGCCCTGCAGGGGTGGAGGGGTTGGCATCCAGGTCTGTGGGTGACTCTCATCACATATCACCTGGTCCTCTGCCACCCAGACTTAACCTCACTCAGCACTGCGGCCACTGTCACTCAGCTTGGCTTCCCAGTGCCAGCGCTGCTGCGAACACACAGCAAGAACAGTCTTATACTGCTTCACAGAGACAGGGTCTCTCACTCTATAGTTCAGGTTAGCCTGCAACTCACCATCCTCCTGCCTCAGCCTTCCACGTACAGGGACTGTAGGCCTGAACTACCACATCAGGCTGGATGTTATTACTCTATCTACTTCAGATAGGGAAACTGAGGTACAGAGCAGTCATGATCACCCAGGGTCCTCTCCTGGTCTGGAATTGCCATCTGCAATGGACTCATGCCCCTCCATCTCTGTCCACTGTAATTACCAAACCTATCCCTACATGCCACCCCATGTCCCTGGGGACAAGTTTGACCAACTAAATAATACTGATTTGGACAGGGTAAGCTCTCCACCAGTTACGGTGTCAAACTGACAACTTAGGTGACTTCTGTGAGTGTGAGTGGGGCCACACCATGGGGGATCAAAGGCAGGGTCACCCCAAGTTGCCTCGCCTTCCTGAGAGTTACTTTACACACATCTATGTAGGGAGGCCTCTGACTCGACGGAGGCCCCCAACAAGGCGGCCCCAAATCCTGAGCTCTCTCTTCTCAGGAGCAGATTCAGTGTTGTGCACCAGGCTTTGTCTGAGTGGTCTGCTCTGCTGAATGGTCCCCATGGGACAGACTCTGGGTGTGTCAGGAAAAGCCTTCTGAAGTAGCTGACGGTTGCTTGCCAGGCCAGATATATGGTGAGAAGAAAGTTCAGACAGGATCTGGGTGAAAGGAGGCACTGCTGTATGGGGGCTCCAAGCTTGGAAGGACTGGCCTCTGAGAACAGAAATGCAGCCAGGCCACGGCTCAGCTCTGCCTAGCCTGCTAGACAAAATCCAAAGATCATAGGAAGCCACCGTGGCCCACTCACAGCCTTCTCCAAGTGCTGACTGTAATCCTGGGAGCTGAGCAAGAGCTGCATGGCCTTGGGCTCCAGGGCAGCCAGACAACACTGGGGTATGTGGCCTCCACCTGCCACCCACATGGGTCTCATCAACGCCTGTGTCACTATCTCAGAGGGAGGCCCCAGACCTCACTCTTCACAAGTCCCATCAATGAAAAGGGACACCCAGTCTTTGAGAGCAGGCGTCCCTCAGCACCTGGCCCCCACAGCTCTGCAGGCTGATCTCACACCCTATGAACTCCTTGGAATAACTCTCCTGGCAGGAATATTTCTGTTTGAGGGGGAACTGAGTCAGGGAGGGCTGCCGCCGCCAGAAGATATTCCTGAATTTTCACTCTCAGTTTTTGCTCTTTGCCTTCAAAAGCCCAGGGTTTTTAAACAGACTTTAGGGGAAGCCTGGGGCATGAAAGTTTGTCCCCCACAGAGTCAAGAGGACACTGTGGTGGTCAGCCCTATGGCTGGAAGTCCTCTGAGGTGTGTATTTGGCCACACGGTGGATACCAAGCCTGGCACCCCGCACTGGCTCACGCTTACCTGGCTGGGGATATGCTAGGAGCCGCCCCCCTGCTAAAACATCACACTTCCGTCTTCTTCCTGGCCTTGGTGACTTTCCCAGCCCAGGCACTTTATTCATCTGTGGCTTCTCACAGTCTGGTTACTCGGCCTGGCTATCCCTCTGTGTGGTTGGTCTCTGCCACATCTAACTGCCTGACACATGACACTTGTTCTCTTTATCACCCAGGCCTGCCGTTCAGCTCATCATCCCTGGTCTCCTTGTAAGTCATCTCATCCCATCCCAAACACTCCACCTGTTTGCCTGTTCCACCCCAGCCCCAGCACCTACGTGGGTAATAGAGCCGCGGTAGCTGGGGCCGTCTGCAGCCCGGGTGCTGGGGAGGCCCTTGGTGATGCTTCCACTGGCAGTGGAACCCAGTGCCGTCCCTGAAAGGCATAAGACACAGCTCTTAGGACCCCAAGTCTGAAAGCCACCGAACTGCCCCTCTTGGTGTCAGAACAGGAGGAGACAGCTGTGAAGTGGGCTTTCAGACCCTCTGGCAGGTGAGGGTGGCCAACTTACCTCTCAACACAGAGGTCTCCTGAGCAGTGGGCACTCCCAGACTCTCGGGTGGCCCAGCCTGGCCCCGAGGGGACAACTGCTCCTGCTTCACTCCACTGAAGGGGGCTAGGGTGGGCGAGAGGACGCAGAGAGGTCTCAGGCTGCACCTCATACTGGGTTCCCAGGGCCAAGACCACCCGCCACCCCTCAGCATAGGTCACAGGAAGCAAAGGTCACGAGCACTCACCCAACTTCTTAGGGTCCACAGCAAGAGGCAGCCCCATGGTGAGAGGGCCCATGGGGGCCTTGGCATGCTCTGAGTGGGGCACTCGAAGCTGCACTGACATTCCCTGCTAAGGCAAGTGAACAGATCAGAGCCAGACCTGAGGGTATGCAGGTCAGAGGGGGCTGCTGGCCCTCTCACCCGCAGGACTGTGAACAGGCTGATACCTGCCCAAGGCTGGTGCCCGTGTAAAGAACACAGTGTGTGAATGCTTTGCATACACAAAGTGGCAGGGCAGGTAGGCTGTGGAGGTGACCAACGGCTCACCACATGACACTCGACAGCCTGCCTCGTCGACAGCTCCCCACCCTCCCACCTAACCGAGGGTGAACTGAGACCTAGAGATGCTGTTGAGTCACTCGCCTGAGGCCACACAGTAGAATGCACGGCCTGTGATCCAGACAGCCCGTGATCCACACAGGCCCCTGGGCTGGTCCCAGGTAGCAGGGGTGAGTCCAGCCAGCTCTCACCCAGCACCACCGCCGGAAACATCCCACGGCTCAAAAGGTTCCCCATCATGGGGAGACCCAGCTTAAGAGGCACTCACCTGGGAGATGGCACCTAGCTGCCTCTCCAGTACGCCGGGATGCTTGGCAGAGGAGATGAGGGGTGGAGGGTTAGAGATGGGGGGGCGTGGCAGGACGGGCCGGGCACTATCGTGGAGGCCCAGAGGCAGTGGGTGGCCTGCAAGGAAACAGTAAGTGTGTATTTGGGGTTCCTCTGCACACCCCTGCGTCAGTGCCCTGAGCCCTACGGGAACCCCACAGTCCTGGACCCTTCTTCCACCCCTGCACCATCATTCCCCAATCCACATCCACGCCTCTAAGCCAGTGCCCCCATTTTCACTTCCTCCTAGCATTCTACTCTCCTTAAAGGGGCCAAAAGGGTCTTTCCCACAGTCAGCAGATATGAGGGTGATCTGGCTGTGACATCTGTCACCCCATTGATTGCCGGGGTTGATTCAGCTGGCTAGCGGGTGTCCCCTTCCTCCCTCACCGCTCCACGTGCGTCCTTCCTGAGGCTGCGCGCTCAAAGAGGGCAACCAGTCTTCAGTCCCTGCTACAACCTCAAAACAAGTCCGCTCCAAAGACAGCGGGCCATTCCCGTCTGCTGTGAGTCTGCGATGACGCCCTACTGCTTCAGGAGAGTCACCTCTGGGCATGGGTTTCAGTGGCATGTGACCGGGGATCCCTGGACTAGCCGGGTAGTTATCTTCTGCTGTGACAGTTTGATCTGGTGCCTCAACCGTCCCTACTCTTTCTTGCTTCTGGACCTTTGCACGCACTGTTCCTTCTGCCTGGCATGCCCTTCCCAGCTCTCCAAGCTCCCTCGGTACACGTATCCTTCAGGGTCAGCTCTGCCTGGGCCAGCCCCTGCTGACGCTGATCGTGGTTGGCCCCTGGCTCAGATACTTTTAATGGTGGCAGAGGACCATCAGGAACAGTAAAACAGCTGGATGTGGTGTGGCACACACCTGTAATCCCAGCACTTAGGGAGGCAGAGGCAGGCGGAACTCTGTGAGTTCCAGGCCAGCCTGGTCTACAATGTGAGTCTAGGACAGCCAAGGCTACACAGAGAAACCCTGTCTTGAAAAACCAAAAACAAAAGAAAAAAAAAAAAAAAAAAAAAAAAAAGAAAACCTAGGGTAGTACCAAAAAAACAGTGTCACAGCATCTGTCCACCAAGGCTGCCCACCCCTCCCTCTAATGCCCATCCTCTTAGTCACTGGTGGAAACTATCTCCCATGCTAGGCCTTCCCCTTGCCAGCTCAAGTACCTCCCATGGCTCCCTATGGCCACTGCAGGTGGTGTGGTAGCTTCCCCAAGTCTCAGGAGGTCCCCAGCTTCCCAGTGCTGAGCAGGCCAAACCTCCAGCCAAGGTCTCATCCGGCCAGGACTCTTCACCCTGCAGTCCTGCGCCAGCACAAAGAGCTGGTTGCCCACTGACTGCATAGACCTCATCGGTGTGGAGTCCACTCACCAGGAGGTGTGTAGGAGAAGGCAGAGGGGTCTGGGGCGTGTGGGGAAGTCTTGATCACCTCCCGTGGAGGGATGGGGAAGGGTAGGCCCGATGTCCAGCGTGGGGGCTCAGTAGGTAGCTTCGGGCCCTCAGGTGGGAAGGCTGGAAAGAATGAGGGTTTCTCTGCTGAGAGAGGGATAAGGAGTGCAGTTACAGAGTGCTCTACCATTCCGGTACCCTGCAGCCCCACTGGCCAGCTATGGCAGGACCCTGACAGGAGGGGCACTGGGATATATATGGCAGCGAAGGCGTGCTGCGATGTCCCCATCATGCTTGCTTAGAACAGGATTAGCTCATGGTAGAACCCACAGGGACAGGCACAACAGAGGCTATTTTGTCAGAGGGCTAATCTTTGGCTCATAGTTCCCCACAGAATGCCACCAGCTGGGTGTACAGGACCAAGAATGGCGGGTCAGGCTTGTTGGTCACTGTGACTGCATGCTGTGGCAACGGATGTGGCTAGAGCAACCACTCCAGGCGAGCACTGGGACAGAGGCAGTTGGTGTTCCAGCCATCTACTATATGCCAGCCACTGGGCTGAGCTCCAGCCAGGCTTTAATGGGCCTGTATGAGTACATACAGAGGACAGTAACCAGACCCATTAGATGAGGTCTCCTCGGTCACCTGCCATGTCTGGACTGGAGCCCACGTGGCCACAAACAGCAGCAAAAGGTAGCACTCTCCTGGATGTCACAGCCGGTTTATTCCTTCGCCCTCCTGATGTGAACACTGAGGCCCCAGCTGCTGAGTGCGGGGCAGATCTGAGAACTGGGGCAGCTGGCTGCAGCCCATGGGCTGTGCTTGTGGCCACATGGTCCGAATACACTGTGACTCTCAGGCCCTGGCTGCCCAGAGGCAGGCCGCCACTCATCCAGGCTTCCTGAGCTCTCACCTTAGCTATAAACCTTGGCTGGATACGTTCTGGGGTCACAACCCACCCAGAAATTATGAAGGATATCGGCCTGGCCTTGGAACAGGAAGTGACTGGTAGCTGTCTCCTGGGTTATGTCCGTATAGCCCTGGGTTGTCCTGAAGGCCAGTTATGGTAGGAGCAAAGGCCTGACTGTTACAGTCCACACCTCTCCCTTAGGAAAGACCAAACTCCCTTTGAACTAATCCCTGGAGAGGTGGTGGCCCACAGAAGTAACTGGCATGGCATTCACATTCTCAACCTACAGGGCTTGCTTTGAACCAGGAAGTCCAAACACCTGGTGCCCTGGCCCTGTGTGCACCTTGGCTGCCCCATCAAGCTTGGCTCTGTGGAGAGCGGGGCGGGGGGACAGAGAGGAAGTCTCAGGCTGAAAGGAAATGGGGTCAGACTCGGCCAATGCAGGCAGGTGGCTAGGAGCCAGGATGGACAACCTGTTCCTCCAGCCGGGCCTGGGGATCCCAAGGGACCTGCTTGGCCTGGAGGCTCCCTGTTGGAGCCAGGACAGAGAAGACTGGCTTCCTGCATGCTGGGTTCATGTGTCCCCTGGGGAACAGAGCTGTGGCCAAACCACGTGAGAGACAGAGCCTGCCGCCAGGTGCAACGTTCCCCAGGGAGGAGTCTAGGAAACAACGCAGCACTGGCCACATGGATGGGCCCCGAACCAGCCACAGGGACCATGGACTACTGGCTCTTTTCCCAGGGACCAGGGCCTAGGGCCCAACTCAGCAGGATCTGGCTAGCCCTGGGTGGCTCCAGGCCTGCTCTGCCACAGCTGCCTGGCCTGGGCCAGACTAGCGCCTCTGCCCCACCCCTTACTTCCACCCCAGGCTGTCATCTTGACTGGTGCTGGCTCCTCACAGCACACTGTGTTCTACACCACACCTGGCCCCTCAGCCCAGCCCCAGTTCCAACAGGACACCCCTGTCCTTGTCCCCCAGGGGCCATTACTATGTCCTGCTGGCTGAGTCTCCTCCTTCCTCCCCATTCCAAGGCCACCTGTTAAGTCCAGGCTACCCTAGGGCTGCTGGGAGGAGCGCCTCAGCCCGCCTCCCACCCCTGCCCTACTCCCTTCTGTTCTTTCTCAACAAGAGTCAGACACTGATTTTTCCCAAGACCCTAATCAGATGACATGCCCCTCCCCCAGCACTGTCACTCAAAGCTACACAACATAGTCCCCATTTCTCTCTTTGACCTCCTCTCCCACTCTAGAGCCCTGAGGGGTCTTTTTCCGTCATCCCCCACCCCCGCCTCGCCAGATCTTTGCTGGACACACAGCCCACAGACCGCCTTGCACCCGTCCTGACCGTCTGTTTCTCACGCCTGCCACGGCTAGCTTAGCCAGGGCCCTTACCTCCCTCTGACAAAGCTAGTGTACATACCACAGGGCCCTGGCAGATGCTGCCTGATGCCTGCATGTGCTGACAATGAAGGGGTGTGGACAGAAGACAGGCATATGTTAGCCAGGGAGTGCCTAGCCAGTCCAGCTCAGGTCAGCCCTGCTCTTGTTCCAGGACAGAGATCCCCACTGTCCCCCCAGGGAGTCCAAAGGTCACATATGACCTGATTCACACCAAAGAAGCGGGGTACACATATGTTTACATGAACACATGTGTGTGTACACGTGTACACACCAGGAGTCACCAGCACTAGACTGCTCCCAGCCCAAGCTACTTCCAGAGCTTTGTGGCCGCGCCCTGTCACGGGCGCTCAGCAGAGAGTGTCCTTCACTTTCGCCGCTGCCCTGTGCCCAACACTCACCGTCTTTCTCAGTGGGAGGCACTGGGCTCCGGCTCTTGCCACGTGGACTTCCTCCCGACTGCTGAGACACGTCACTCTCTGGCTGTAGGTGCTGCGTGGGTGGAGGCACAGGGGGAGCTGGCTTTGGGGGCACTGTGTCCTCCCGGGGGGGTTCATGGACCTTGGTGACCTGCTGAGGGCATGGGGCGGGTATAAACATCCTGGCCCCATGTCAGAGGTTGGCAGGTTGGGGAGTGGCCCTGTGGCCTGCACGAAACCCAGGTATAGAAAGACAGCCACGTCTCCCCTAAACACCCTATGTGGAGGCACAAAGGGACAAACAAAACACATCGGGGTCACCACCACCAAAGATGGACCTGTCTCAGCCACCCGGAGCCAGGTGGGGCTGGGACCTGCAAGTTGCTCACTCCACCGAGCACAGCTCACATCACTGGGTATCAGGGTAAGAAGTGGCCATGTGGACTTTGGGGCTAGCACTGAGGCCAGACACACATGTCCAACACTTAAGCCTGACAGACAGGTCAGTTCGGACCTCCGTGAACTGCCTTCAATGGGAAGGCCAAACCTAAATCTCAAACGGGAAATGGCTGAAGAAATTATAACCAGCCAAGTGTCCTTGGAAAATGGGGAGCTCCCAAAGGCCCCAAAGACAGACCTCACAGGGCCCAGACATTAGTTGGCTGAGGTGTTGGTGGGTCTAGGGGCTTGCCGGCCACGGCTGCCTGGTCTGGGGTGTGGGGGGTAACCTCTGGAGAGCAACTTCTCAGAGCAACCTTCCCTATCTCCCAACCTCTCCCAGCCTTCCAACCCTATCACCAGTCCTGTGTACACATCTCCATCTCTGGGAACCACTGGCCTGGAGAAGAGCCTCCCTCCGCAGGTGAAGCTCCTGCCCCAAATACTGAGCACACAGGAAGTCAAGGTCAAAGTAGGCTGCCGGAGCAGGGTTCACTCACGATGGGGGGGATGGCGGCCGCTCGTTGCTTCAGCTGCTTCAGGTCCAGCGGCTTCTGGGGCGAGGTACTAGCCCGGGGATCGCCGGCTGGGGTAAGGAGGCTGGGCCTTGGTGACAGCAGCCTGGGGAGGGACAAGCGTTAGGTCAGGCTGCAGCATCAGCCACAGGCACTTGGAGGACCTTCCTGGGAAAGGGGGCTGGGGCTGTCCTGCCTCCATGGCTTCTCCTTCAAGCCCTGGATGGTGGGGCCCACCAGGAAGGCCCTTAGCAGAGTCCAAATGCCCCAGCCAACAAACTCTGCTGGGTAGCAGCACTCCACTGGCCCACACAAGCCACGGCTCCAAGATGGCCCCAGGGCAGAGAAGACAGCTGAAAAGCACGAACTGGGTGTCTAGGCCGTGTGGGCCCTCAGGGAGTGGCCGGAAGGCCACAAACTCAACCGGATCAGGGCGGAGGGATGACAGATTCCTTGGAGATTATTCTCATCCTAAACCCAGTACAGGATGGGCCCTGGAACCGGGCCTATGACTCTACTAACTCAAGCCTGTGTGCGCTGGGCCCAAGTATGACAGTGGGCTCAGTTCCATCCTGGGGAGGGGTAGGCAAGTCTTATGACCTCAGTGATGGGGTCTGAGCTATGGGCTACAGCCCTAGAATTTGAACAGGACAAGTCTAGAGTAGATCCCTGAAACCATCAGGGGCTATGTGCCCCTGCACACTGAGATCATCCTGGCTCAACCACACAACAACATGTAAGCCAGAACTTCAGCCTTCGGGGTGAGAACTGCTGACAGCTAGGATGCGGTTAGAGCCACAGGGGACTGAGAAGAGCGCATGCCTCCTTCAGCAGACGGAAGGGCACAGACTCTGCTGTGACAGGAGCACGCATGCGACAGGCCCTGAGGGTAGCAGCCTGCTGCCCGCATCTGCCACACGCTCAGCCAAGCGGGGAGAGCAGACAGACAGGATGACGCCTGCTGAAGTTGCCTGAGGCAATCAGGGGGGACAGGAAGAACAGGTCACCCTGACTCCTACATCCCTCCTGTCCCACCTGTCCACACCCATGGCAGGGATGCCTTTGTTGCTGCCCTCAACAGATTTCACTTGATCCCTGTTCCATCTGGCCACCCCCTCTACCCTGGGCTTTAGCAGAATGCCCAGACAGCCCTCATTTACCTGCCTCCGGCCATTTCTTTCCTTTCCTTTCTATTCTCTTTTTAGTTTTCTGAGACAGGGTTTCTCTGTGGAGCCTTGGCTGTCCAGGAATTCCCTTTGTAGACCAGGCTGGCCTTAAACTCAGCCTTGGCCTCCTGAGTGCTGGGACTAAAAGCATGTGCCACCTCCACTGGCTGCCCCTAGCCATTTTAGTGGCCAGCGTTGATAAACTTATATTGAAATAAAATATGACATAGAAAACTCTTCAAAAGGTCATACCCAGGCTGGGTGTGGCAGCATGACACCTATCAACCCAGCGCTGGTGAGTCTGGGCAGAAAGAGTCTACAAGTTCAAGGTAGCCTGGGCATCACAGAGAGGCCCACTACGCAGGTTACATGTTACTCACTATGTATGTTACGAAACATCAAGAACAAAACAAGGCGTCCCCGAACCATACTCCAAAGACATGAAGATGCACACCACGGAGAAACCACTCCCAAGTGTCCCCACAGACCGCTCAAGGCTCGCAGATACCCACAAACTGATGCTGAAAGAACACACAGGGCAAGGGGGCTGCCATCCAAGTCACCGGGCCCTAATTCTCATCCCACAACACAGTAAACCCCCCAAAAACACATCGCTAATCAAGAGAGGCCACATGCCCCACTCCCTTCACAGGACACTGGACTGGATCAGTGGATACCCCAGATAGTCTTCTGGGGACGATGGCATGGTCTGTAGTGATGCCGAGAGACGCACATCCAGTGTCATAAGACTGTGCTCCATGTGGCACACTCACTACTGTGAGTCACAGCTCTCTAGAGCCACCAAGAGGAAGGGGGCCCCTGCTGCGACAGTACAATCCGGGGAGCACTATGGCCCCTTCCATGAAGAAGCAGAAAACAGCAGCAAGCTTTGGCGCCAAAACCTAGACTTCTGCATCTGTGCAAATGTATTTTTGCAGAGATTCAAATTTCATTTCTAGTACATGGGGACACAAGCCTGGGTGCTGAGGCCTTCTTGGCAGGGATCATGTCCCTCAGTTTCCCCATGACAGACCTAAAGCTGGAAGGGTACCCCAGAGCTGTAGTGATGGCTCGCTGGTAAAGAGCAGAGAGACCCAGTTTTGGTTCCCAGCACCCATTAAGGTAGCTCAGTACCAGAAGATCCAATGCCCTCCTCTGGCCTTCCTCAGGTCTCTGTGGTCATGGATGTGGCACAGATACACTGAGGCAGGTGTATAAAAATACACATAAACAAACAGGTGGGAGAGATGGCTCAGTGGTCCACCGCTCTTGCAGAAGAGGAAGTTTGATTCTAAGAACCTATGCCAGGATCTTACAACCACCTGTAACTCGTTCTCGAGAGGATCACATGGCCTCTGGCCTCTTCAGGCACCAGCATTCACATGCACATACTCATACACAGGCATATAATTAAAAAGAATTGCTGAGTAGTATTCCATTGTGTAAATGTACCACAATTTCTGTATCCATTCCTTGGATGGAGGGTGGAGGGAGTGGGGGGCGGGGAGCCTTACCAAGCCACAGAGGAAGACAATGCACACAGTCCTGATGAGACCTGACAGGCTAGGGTCAGATGGAAGGGGAGGAGGACCTCTCCTATCAGGGGACTGGGGGAGGGGCATGAGAGAAGAGAGAGGGAAAGGGGGATTGGGAGGGGTACAAAGTGAATAAATTGTAACAAATGAAAAGAAAATTTAAAAATATTTAAAAAAAAAAAGGAAAACAAAATAATAAGTAAGTAAGTAAGTAAGTAAAGCTTCAATGATCTCCAGCCTTCACAGGGACCCAAGACAAAAACCCCTTTGGTCACTTCACTCCCTGCCACAGAGCTGTGAGAACCACTGAATATCAGCTCAGATGGCCACAGGGCCTTCATGCTGGTCCTTCCCTGTGCTCAGAGGGCTTTTCCCGGCCCCCACTTCACACAAAGAGCAATGATCATCCTCAAGTGTTGCCTCCTTTGAGTCACACCTACATCCACATGGGTCACGAACTATGAGTCTTTCTTCTCTCCAGTGCCAGCATGCTTGGGAATCTGGGCCCTGCTGGTCCGGCCGCTATTATCTCTAGGGGCCTGCCCAACACACGCTGCCCAGGGCAGTGTACCTGGCCCCGGTTGTGGTTATGATCACAAAACAACCCTGTGGGGATGTCTTTACCCACTGCAGGTGAGGAAACTAGCTCAGTCGGGAGAGGGGGTGTGAGGGGCTTTCCCAAGGTCCAGCCCTGCTGGAAAGCACCAGCTCCCTACTCTGGAAGTGAGGTGGGGCTGCAATCCAAGTCTCCTAGCAAACTCCAGGCCAAGTAAGCTTCCCTGGGCGCAGCAGCAGCAGCAGCAGCAGCAGCAGCAGCAGTTTCCCAGAACAGCCTGAGTGGGATCACCCCAAGTTCCCAGACAGCAGCTCGGTTGCTGCCCTGCTGACACCCTTCACCTGGCATCCCTGGCCCCCATGGTGTAGCTGGTGAAAAGCCTGTAGTAAGCTTTCAGCCAGGAAGTCTAGCCGCTCACTGAGTGCACAGGCGGGCCTTGGGGAAGGGGAGTGTTGGTCCCACAAGGCCTGACGGGGCAGGTGTCCTGAGTCCCAGCCTAGGAGCTAGACAGCAAGCAGGAAGGTGGAGAGCCACTGAGTACCAGGCAGGGAAGGACACTACTGGCTGGAACTGAGGGCAGCAGCCTGACGAGAGCCCGGAGAAGTCTGAGGAGTGGGCTGGTATTCAGGGTAGCACCCCCAACACCCGGCTCTGCGGCCTATGAACTATCACCCAGACTCCAGAGGAGCACACTGCTGCCTCCTGTGGCTTTGTGGCAATCTCTCATCTCAGAGGAAACCCTGGTGGCACAGAAGCTGCCATGGGCCCAATGTTCCCTGCTGTGCCCATCAGGCAAGAAGCTGGGGGCACCTCAGAAACCCACTGGCCAACTTCTGCTTATCCAGGGCCATCTGTTGTCCACCTGCTCATGTAAGCCCTACCAGTGGAGTCCTCGGGGAACACAGGTCCACAAAGCATCCATTTCAAATCCACTAGCCAAGAGGGGAAAGGGGAGGAAGGGCCCTGTGTGGCCCGGTCTGAAGGTCATGGTCTCCTCCCTTGCCCTGCCGGAATGTTTCAGAGACTTGAGGGGAGAGAAAACAGACTTTGCTGTTTGCAGTCAAAATAAACAGAGCACACTGCCTCATCACAAAACAACTCCTGCAGCTGCCCAGAGGTGGGTGGGGCCGCCCAGATGTGATCAGGAAAGGTTTCCAGGCCTGCCCGAGTGCCCAGATTGGTCCCACCTAAAACATGGTGTGCCCCTAGGGCAGGGAGGGTGCCAATCAGAACGCCCCCCACAGACCCGCTATCACCTCAGAGAGAAAGCTGGGGTGCCATCAGCTCAATCACTGTTCCCACAGCTGGCATCTTTACTGCCATCGCTAGAGCAATCTGGCTCACCTGGACCCCTCAGCCACGGCCTGGCCCTTGCGGGCAGCAGTCACCGTGTCTTACTATCCTGGGAACATATGCAACAGCCTGGCCCACAAGGCGGTCCTGAACGCTCAGGGCCTTTGCACCAACCGTCCTTACCACAGAAGGTAAGAACTGGGTACTCTTCCCCCTCCCCTGCCCTCCCTCTGTCACTGGGAAACCAGCAAGCTTCAAGGAAGCAGGGACTTGGACAGAGAGCCATGTCTATAAGCCAAGGGCTACGGGCAACCATCAGCAGTAGAAGATGCTGGGTGGGGACTTCCCAAGCTGTAGTTCGGTGTGACTCCATGACACCTGGATGTGGACCTTCCACCTCCACTGCTCTGCTACCTCGAGTCACCTGGTCTGCAGCACAGCTGGAGGACAGCAACACACACTGCTGGCTCATTCTTCCCCTCAGTCCGCCACGACTACCTCCCCTTCAGAGCTCAGCTCCATGCTGCTCCAAGGGGTTCTTCCTGCCACTCTCTCCTTCCAGAATGAACCCCCTGGTGGTGGTCTGAATAAGGTCCCCACAGGCTCATATATTTGAATTCTTAGTCACCAAGGAGTGACATTATTTGAAAGGATTAGGAGGCATAAGAGGGGTGACCTTGTTGAAGGAAGTGTGTCACCAGGGGCAGGCTTTGAGGTTTCAAAAGCCCAAGCCAGGCTCAGTAGCAGTACACACACTTCCCTCCCCCCTGCCCCCTTCGCTCTTTCTCTTTCTCTGTGTAGATGAGGAAGCAATTCTCAATTACTCCTCCAGCACCATGCCTGCTGCCACACTTCCCACCATGACAATACGCACTAAACCCCTGAAACTGCAAGCAAGACCACAATTAAAAATGTCTTCTTAAGAGCTGCCTTGGTCATGGTGACTAAGACACCCCTATTTCTGGTCTCAGTCTCATGTTGACTCCACAAACCAGCCACAGACTCTGAGGTGGGCAGGGCCACCTGTGTTGTCTTGGCAGATGGAGTGTGTTCCCTCTGTTCTCAGAGCACACAAGAAGCTGGCAGCAAGGGCTGCCTGGTGCCTCTCACCTGCCCTTGTCACCTCCCTCAGGCTCGTCCACCTCGTCTGCGCTGCAGGTGGCGCTCGAGTCGCTGTCCTGGGTGGTGCCCGAGCTGGAGGCCTTGGTGGCGCCGACCTTGCTTCCACCTGCAGCCTCTTCCACCTTATGCGGAGCTTCCGACACAGCCTCGATGGCCTCCGGGCCCTTGGCCTTGTCTTCAGTCTCCTCCTCAGCTTCTTCCTTGTGCTCACTCTTCACACTCCTGGGTGGCTCCTCAGGGGCCTCAGGCTCCTCTGTCTTTCCCACATTGATCACCAGTTCCTCAGCCTCAGGCTTCTGCTCCTTGGCGTCCTCTGTCTGGGGAACTGCAGCAGCCTGGTCTTCTTGTTCATCCTTGGCAACAGCAGCCGGGGGTGCGGTGGTGGCAGCAGGTGATGGGGGAGCCACTGGGGATGGTGGACCAATGGCATCAGGGGCCGGGCAAGGCTCAGCGGGAGGTGCTGCGGGTTCTTCTGGTGGAGGAATGGGTGGTTGGGTGGCAGCAGGCAATGCTTCAGTGCCAGTGGGCTTAGACCCATTTTGCCCAGCATCCTTGGTGGCCTCCGAGCGTGGGGATGGGACGCTCTCTGTATCAGAGCTGTTGTTGACAGCGGCTATATGCGGGGTGAGAGGAAAGAGGGGGTGAGCTGCTACATGGGATGGGACAGCACTCTCAAGGAATACTGGAAAAGCCCCCAGGCTCCCACACATCCGGGGGAGCCTTGTCCCTCACACACTCCTACAGACCCGGGCTGCTGCTGTCCTTGACCAGCCTGCAACTTTGGCTGCTTCTTCCTGCTGTCCATAGACTGGTCGGCCTCAACCCGTGGGCTTCCCAGGTGGCTAGGACCTCTACAGGGCCCAGCCAAGGACAGCCTCAAGACAGGCCTTCACCTGAGGTCTACAGGTAAGATCTGAGTTCCACTTGGCTCTGTGCCCAACTTTTGGTACCCCCTGGAGACTCAGGGCTTCTCTCAAACTTCAGTTTCCCATCCACAGTATGGGAACCAAACCTCCACGGAGGCTGAGCTGGAGAGGAAGTGTACAGGCCCAGGGACCACAAGAGCATTCCAACATGGCTGACAACATAGTGCAACACAAGGCCACTGCACAGCAGTAGCCCCTGAAGGAGCATACCTGCTGCTCCTGCTCCATGGGATTCCCACCTGGATTAAGAGGAGAGTGTGAGTGTGTGTGTGTTTGTGGGCGTGCACTGAGAGCAACGGAGACCCAACTGCAGCCCTGCCTGACTCTACAGCTCGCCTCATCTTTGGGTCTCAGGTCCCTCCGTTTTCTGCAAAACAGACACATGGAAACAGGGGTGAGGACACGGAACAAGGAAAAGTTCCAAAGCAAACTTAAGACAGAAAAGACAAGCAGGGCAGGGCATGCTGACCACAGCAAGAGAACAGCACAGGGAACAGACACTTTGTAGAGAAAAAAGCACAGAAGAGGAAAACAGGACACAGTGAGGAACAGGGATTGAGATCTGGGATACCTCACTGTCTCCCCACCCCACACCAACACACACACACACACACACACACACACACACACACACACACACACA